CTTTCAGAAGATCAAGTGACATCTAGACATTTCCAGAAAATTATCAAAATGTGGTTTTTTTTTTTTTCACTTTTGACATCCACAAATGAATGTCTTTACACACGTAGAGCTGGCTAACACTGTCCTGGGTTCAAGATCATTGCAGGCTATTATTTTAAAGGCCAACAGCTTGTGCACTCCATGCAGGTGGGCTGGCGATTGGATGCAGGCTTGAGTTTGGCAAATGAATACCGTCCTTCGACGCTGTTAGCTCATCTCTGATTTTATTTTTATTTATTTTTTATTTTTTTTAGATTTTATTTATTTGAGACAGAGAGAATGAGAGAGAGAGAGCACATGAGAGGGGGGAGGGTCAGAGGGAGAAGCAGACCCCTGCCGAGCAGGGAGCCTGACGCGGGACTCGATCCAGGGACTCCAGGATCATGACCTGAGCCGAAGGCAGTCGCTTAACCAACTGAGCCACCCAGGCGCCCTCATCTCTGATTTTATATACGTGAAGTCATATGCAAAGAGGTCCAAAGTCTTCTTGTGGATATAAGGCTGAATGAAGTAGGTGGTCCACCTGTCACCCCACCCCTGCGACACGTGCCTTCTTTGAGGTCAGACTGAGTCAGGTATTAGTTTTTACTGGATTGGGTACCAGAGAGGGACTGAGATCAAGAGGAGGTTGTGGGCGCATGTCTGGTACTAGTTCAAGGTCAGCGTCTTTGCTTCCTGGGTTGCTGGAGGCAACAAATGAGGGCAGTCCGGTAATGGGGTTATCCTCTCCGTCCCCTTCCTAGCCTGAGTAAGTGCCTCCCTGACCCTGGAGTGACCCAGATGGGCTGAAGGCAACTGTTGACCATCAGGGAACCGGCCCAGCTGCTGTTGCCCACCCTGCTCTGAGCCATGTCATAAACGAGGAGGATTATGACCAAGGGGTTGAGAATATCCCAGAGGCATATGGAGAGTCCATTTATTCACCTTGTCCATTTGTTCCCTGAGGTCCGGCTTTTACAGATTGTGCACTAACTGATTTGCCAATCATCGGTTACCATCGGTTCTATCAATCAGATCTGCCGACCCAAGTCCTTCCCACGCTGTCTTTAGAACTATTTAATATTTCCTGGGTTTGCCGAGCTGCTCTCTTACAGCTAGCAAATGACAGGCAATGCTGGGTCTGGATAGGAGATTAAGGTGGGAGGCCCGAGCCGCTAAAAGGTGGTGGTGAGGTCCCCGCGAGCCCCGGAATTAGACCCGAGTTCGGTCCCAACTCTGCCACTTTCCAGCCGCACGATTGTGAATAAATGGTCCTCATTCTCTCTGCACCTTCACTGCTAATGCCCTCTCCCCGGCACACTCCAGGTCTGGGCTCCAGTCTGAGCCTCGTGCTTGATCGTGGCTAAGAGCTCCTGGAATCTGTCCATTGTGGAGTTTCAACTCATTTAGGGGCACAAACATGAAATCATCGTATTCATTCTAAGGACTGTTCCCATCACTAAATCACATCTCAATCACACTGTTCGACTTTCTGGAAACATCACAGTTCGGAAAACAGCCAGTTTTCTTTACTCTAGAATGTCAACTAACATCGTAATCAAAACTCTTCCCCTCCCCCATCAGAGGTGGGGCGAAGGAGGTGAGGGGCACACTCCACCCTCTTACACACTCCCCTCCCACACCCCCTGCACCCCGGGTTCTGAGAGTCCAGAGCAGAGTGGGAATGGGCACGGTCTGGCTCTGGACCCTCCGCCCCGCCACTCTCTATGCTCAAGCTGCCTGAGGTTATCTGAGGCAGGGTGGTATCTTGCTCTGATCACTGAGACGGCTACTGCCAGATGATGGTCTCCCTGGGCTGGCTTTGAACTTCACTTGGGCACCCTTGGAGAGCAGCCCCTGTGTCCTCCTTAAGCCCCTGCCAGCATCGAAGCCTCCAGCCCGCTCTGGATGAGACAATGGTACTGTTAAATGATGAGCATTTTCCTTTGATCCTGTCACTAGAACTTCATGACCAAAGTGTAACCCCAGTGGGGATGATGTCGAAGCCCATCTGGAGGCCCTTTGGGAAAGTGAAGCCTGAGCTAAATGGCCTTTCATTCACCCCCAACCCCACCACTTAGTGGTGAGCTCTGCTCTGCACACATGGGCAGCTTCCTGGCTCCCTCCCCTCCCCTATTCCCCGCCACTTCACGGTGAAGGGTGGGCAACCTGAGGTCCCCTTCAGTAGCCTCTGGGGGCCATGAGGAACAACGGTCAATGTTCTCTCATCTAGGCCTTCTGCTTTTCTAATGAAGGCTACTCCTGGAAGCCTTTGTAATGTGGGGGAAATAACCCCTGCCTGGAGAGTAACTGTGGGACCTAATGAGATGACATGAAACAATTGGCTCAAGTGGTAGAAGTGTTTTGGCTGGCCCAGGGGTACTAGTACAGTTGCACAAGCCATACACTGCATAATTCTGGTGTCAGAGATTATTATTTTTTTATTTTAAAGATTTATTTATTTATTTGAGAGAGCGAGAATGAGAGAGAGTACATGAGAGGGGGGGAGGGTCAGAGGGAGAAGCAGGCTTCTCGCTGAGCAGGGAGCCCGATGCGGGACTCGATCCCGGGACTCCAGGATCATGACCTGAGCCGAAGGCAGTTGCTTAACCAACTGAGCCACCCAGGCGCCCAGCAGAGATTATTTTTTATTACAATTTTCTGGCAGAAGGACACCGAGGGTCACCATAGGGTCTAACCGCAGGGTTGGTGGCACTCCCCCCTTGCTAGTCAGGTGCCAAGCCCTCTCTTCTGAGAACATCAAGCCCCGCTCCCCCTTTGCCACGAGCTTCCTAGAGGCCAGAAACCAAGGGCTCATTAGCCATCGTCTCCCTGCCAGAATTCCCCACGCACATCTGAGCCCTGCACCTTGGTGATCTTGTGCCCTGCCTTGGTCTGGAGTGCCTCAGGCTAGGACTCCTGTCAGGGATGGAGAGACATCCAAGCACCCTCAACAAGGCCACTGAGCAAAAGGGAAAAGAGGATAGACACATGGGCTCAGCAAACTTTGGAGTCAGCTTTAGTCTGTCTTTTAAGGTGCTAGCCTAGGACAGTGTGAAGTAGATTGCATAAAAAGAAGCAACATTTGGATATAGTGGCTGCCAGAAGCTAGTGACATAATCAGAAAATAAAAAGTAAATTTTGAAATAGGATGTGACATTAATGTGATGTATGACTTACAAAGATGGTCATTTTAGCAAACGCCTTCTGAACCCATGCCCCTACTTAATATATGTCATTAAGTGACTCATACTAACTTGATTCTGAATTTCCTTGAGAGCAATATGAAAATAGCAGCTTCTCTGATGAGCTCAGCCTTGGAGTGTTACTTGTGCGGCAGAGGTACTTAGAACTTAAAGATGAGGAACAGTGACCTGAGAACACTCTAAGCATTTAATTAATATGTGGACTTTGCTACAAACCTGGAATGCAGCCAGATGTGTTTTCTTCATGTGAGGTATATTTGATGAAAGGAATTCTATAGTTAGAAAACACTCAGAAGGGGCGCCTGGGTGGCTCAGTCGTTAAGCGTCTGCCTTCAGCTCAGGTCATGATCCCAGGGTCCTGGGATCGAGCCCCGCATCGGGCTCCCTGCTCTTCAGGAAGCCTGCTTCTCCCTCTCCCACTCCGCCTGCTTGTGTTCTTTCTCTCGCTGTGTCTCTTGCTGTCAAATAAATAAAATCTTAAAAAAAAAAAAAAAGAAAACACTCAGAGATGGTAAGGCTTCCTAACTTAATGTTGGGGGAAGAACCACGATGAGGCAGGGCCATCTTCTGGCAGCACGGGGTACTGCAGCCTGGCTATATCGGACTAAGTGGTAAATATGCCACCAGGAAAAATCCAAGTAGACGAGAAATTGTGGTCGAGGGCAAGATAGGAAGGTTTTATGGACTGACAGCAGACAAACAATGCCACAGTCAGGAAGGTGTCACAGGAATTCCAAACCCTTACAAGTAAAAAGGAAATTGCCTCATTTTGTCTTTGCGGGACAATAGATTCCATTAAGAAAATACCAACTGGGTATTAAAATACCCAGAATGCCTTATTATCTCTTCCTCTTTTTTTTTTTTTAAAGATGTTATTTATTTATTTGACAGAGAGAGAGAGGGACAGCGAGAGAGGGAACACAAGCAGGGGGAGTGGGAGAGGGAGAAGCAGGCTTCCTGCTGAGCAGGGAGCCCGACGTGGGGCTTGATCCCAGGACCCCGGGATCATGATCTGAGCCGAAGGCAGACGCTTAACGACTGAGCCACCCAGGCGCCCCCTCTTCTTTTTTTTTATTTGACAGAGAGAGAGAGAGCACAAACAGGGGGAGGGGCAGAGGCAGAGGGAGAAGCAGGCTCCCCACTCAGCAGGGAGCCCGATGCGGGGCTCGATCCCAGGACCCCGAGATCATGACCCGAGCTGAAGGCAGACACTTAACCATCTGAGCCACCCAGGAGCCCCTATTATCGCTTCTTCAATCTTATTTTCAATGTGTTCCTTCAGGAGATCTCACCCACCCTAATCAGAATACAGCAACCATGGGCGCCTGGGTGGCTCAGTCGGTTAAGCGGCTGCCTTCGGCTCAGGTCATGATCCTGGAGTCCCGGGATCGAGTCCCGCATCGGGCTCCCTGCTCGGCGGGGAGTCTGCTTCTCCCTCTGACCCTCCCCTCTCTCATGCTCTCTGTCTCATTCTCTCTCTCAAATAAATAAATAAAATCTTTAAAAAAAAAAGAATACAGCAACCGTTTTATAATGGAATGGACAAGATTCGCTTTTCAGAAATGTATTTTACTTGGCCATTAAGAACACATTTCTGCTCCTAAAAGCAAGAAATCCTTGGTTTAACTTTGTCGCACTCCTTTTATTCTCAATTACGTGATAGTCCTTATACCATCTTAGCTAGTGCTTTTCTTTTCTACTTTTTTTTTTTCCATACCAAAATGAAGGCGCGTGGGAGATGGAAAAACCCAGTATAAAAGCAGGACACCCAGAGCGTTCAGATTACTGGCGGTTTTATTGAGTTAGTGGCACACAGGAGTTCTTCCCATGATCAGCGAACGCGGCGTTACGGTGCGGTGTCCGGAGGGAGGAAAGGCTGGGTGAGGGGACAGAAGGGCCTCGAGGCAAGGCCCGGTCCACTCGGTGACATGCGGAGCTCTCTCTAGGGGCCTATCACTCATCTCGGGGGCAACGGAACTCAGGCAGCCCCCTATTTGGAGAGGCAGTGGTCACATCTCATTCCTCCCTGAAAACAAAATGGAGGAGAATGGAAGGTGAGGGCTGGACACTCACGGATAAATGCTTCTCAACAAAGAAAGAACATCCTCCAAAGGAAAATTAGAATTTCCAGAGATTTTTCTGGCTTCGTGCCTGGGCTCTGGCTATAGGAGCAATCGTTCCCAGGCTGGATCTGCGCGGCCTTTTTTCTGGGTCCCAGGGCCCTGCTGGGCAGGGAGAGAGCACAGCTGAGGCCTGCGTACTCACCGGTTCTTATGGCGGTATTCCTGAAGGGCTTTCTCTGCCACAGTCTCCATAAATTTAGGATTGTTCCTGGAGACGTCTTCTGGGATCATCACAGTGATGGGGTCGGAATCGAAGAGCTTCACAACCACCTTAGTGACCCCAGTGGGAACGCTGGAGTCAGAAGTCTGGGACCCCACCTAGGAGGAGAAAGGGTAAGAGAAGGACTGAAATATTGGTCAAAATGGACTCCTTTTGCAACAAAAGCCAGGCTCAGATGTGGTCAGGTGACCGCTTTGCTTTTTACTCAGTTTGACATCCGTAACATTCCATGAGCAGGAGGGCCCTAATTCAGAGACGCTTGTTTGTAGGAGTCAATCCTATCTGCAAATGACCAGCCCATGGGGAGCACTCCCAGAGGAAAACTGGTTTTTAAGCCACCATGTTTTCTTTGGGCAGCCCCTGGCTGGGCCAGTGGCAGAAAAGGAATCGGGGCAAGAAAAACAAAAAAAAGCTTCCCAGCACTAGAGAGAGGCTTTCTATTACTGGTAGAGGGTAACACACCAATTCATGCGCCAAGCTACGTGGCACAGGGCAGCGAGGCACCCTCGTGGGAAAAGCACAGGCTTTTCAGCCAGGCAGACAGGTTCTAATGCCTAGGTAAGCCACCTGTCAGTCCTTAAACCTAGGGCAAGCTGTCGAATCTCTCACTTTCTTCAACCATGAATGGGGTCACAATGGGGGCACCTGGGTGCCTGTTGGCATCTGACTCTTGATTTCAGCTCAGGTCATGATCTCGGGGTCGTGAGATCGAGCCCCACCTTGGGCTCCACGCTGGGCCATGGAGCTTGCTTAAGATTCTTTTTCTCCCTCTCCCTTTGCCCCTTTCTAAAAAAAAAAAAAAATGGGGTCATGGCATTCTACACCTCACCGGGAGATGAGGCTTCCATGCATCAATGTACTTCAAAGTTTTTATGTTTCCTGCCATATGGCAAATGCTCGATCCAAAGCTTAAGTGCCCCCTTTAATATCTTCCTCCCATTTTGCTTTCAGGGGAGGGTCACATCGCTGCCAGACCATACGGGCCCCACCGAGCTTCAGTGTGTGGCCAGGACGTGACTCACCGTTGTGACCTGGAGATAGAATGGGTCTTCACTTTGAGTGAGATTAGCCAGCTGGGACACCCAACTAAACTGCTCATTCAGCTGCTTCAGCAGGGAGGACGTGTTGAACATCTTCTCCTGATAGGATTGCAGCAGCTCCTCGTACAGCCTGGTGAACTTCTCAGCAATCTGGAGGGAATTATTAAGTTCCTGTCGCAGCTGGACCTGAGCGGGGTTGTTGGAAGAACAGTCTGCCCGGAGATGGGGAAAAAACAAGGCAGAAATGTGAAGGGAAGGCTAAAAAAGGATAAAAACATGAATGGAAATCAGTTCATGGAGCCAGGACCCAAAGCGGAGATACTCTAAATGCCCAGCCACATGCCGTGTGTCGTCAGTCTGTAACAAAATACAGAGCTCGCCCCAGAATGTAAATCAACACGCAGCTTCCTTCATTGACAAAGTCTTGCTCTGGAAAACACTGGCAACTGGACTAACCAGTGTCCTCTTAGTGACATCACTGATTCACCTTTGGGTGCAAGGCCCTTACCTCCTTGGAGACTGGTGAAAGGACGTTGACCACACTTTGAGAAACACTGATCTCAGTCTATGTGCTCAGACCTGGAGCTACTCTCGCTGTGCTAGTCCCCCGAGGGATCATTTCCGGAGAGAAACTAGGTACCACACACTACTCAGGTGCTGTGGATATCCACTCTCTCCAATAATCACATCTCTTCTACCTTAAGTATTACCAGGGATGAAATTGAGGTCCACAAAAGTAAATCACTTGCTTAAAGACATAGAATGATTTATGGGGCCAGGATTGAATCCAGAGCTTTAACTCTTAAACCTAGGTTCTTCCTCCTCTGAGTCTGTGGCTCTGGAAAATTCTCCAAGCCTGTCTTTTGAGCATATCTGCAGAGCTAGAAATCTAGTGCCAACAGTCCATGACATAGAGAGCTGGCCAGGATCCTTGGTCCATCTGCCCATCATGGCTGGTCACCCAGCTCACCAGGGGGAGAGAGAAGACACAGGGGACTGCTTTGGGTCCTGGAATGCCCACTGCAGGTTGTCTGATCAATAAGAGCTGGCAACTACCCACTATCTCTTTAAAAACTACTGATTTTCTTTCCCTGATTTTTTTCAAAAAATATCTCAAGGATGGTACATCAAACCCTAGCAAGTCAGGGGAAAACAGATCTTTGCACACTGCACTTACTGTAAAGGATTACCATAAATGATTATAGTGTATTTGTATTAAAATCTCAAAAATGTTAGGTGGGGCAGGAAATAAAAGCCAGGTTGAAAAGATAATACAATGAATAATCTTAACTCTTTCACCAGGGAAAAATAAAAAAGTGAGAAAAGTCACTGAGAACTGAGACTCCATCTAGAGCAGTGGATCTCAACCGGGGGCTCTGCTGCCCCAGGGGGATATTTGGCAAGGTCTGAAAATAGTTTTGGTTGTCACGACTGGTGTGGTGGGGAGGCTACAGGTGCCTCGTGGGTAGAGGCCAGGGGCGCTGCTAAACATCCCACAGTGCACAGGACAGCCCCTCATGATAAAAGTGACTCGGTCGGGGGGCGCCTGGGTGGCTCAGGTGGTTAAGCATCTGCCTTCGGCTCAGGTCATGATCCCGGGGTCCTGGGATCAAACCCCATGTCCGGGGTGGATGGGGGGGCCTGCTCAGGGGGGAGCCTGTTTCTCCCTCTCCCTCTGCCCCCTCCCCTACTCATGCACGCACTCTCTCTCTCCCTCTCTCTCAAATAAGTAAATAAAATCTTAAAAAAAAAAAAAAAAAGCGATCCAGTCCAAAATGCCAACAGCTCCAAAGCTGAGAAACCATGGTCTAGAACGTTCGGGCAGTGCGTGTTCATTTAGAGGCCCGCGACTGAAATAAGAGGCGGTAACTCTCTCTCGGTGAAGAGAAGGCAGTGTGGGTAAGCTGGGGTCAGTGACCGTTAAGATCAGTGCTCGGGACGCCGATTTGAGCCGGGGCATCTGTGCCTCTCTTCTCCTGGCCCGACGTGTGACTCTCTGTGGTGGGGAACTGCACACTTGATGCTTCTCTAACTAGGGTAGTTGACGGACAAAGCCCGGGAGGCTGGGTTGAGGACTCACCTGCACTTCATACATCAGCCCCTCCCCCGACACTTGTATTTATTTCGCAGTGGCTCGAAAACTTATAGGAGTGAGGCTAGGAATATTTAACTAGACTCCAAAGGCTTGCCCTGGCAAACCCAAACGTATTAAGTAAGAGCAAAGCCACAAGATCGATCTGCCACGTCCAAGGGAAACAGTTAACTCTTTCCAAGCAGAGACTGCTGTGTGCCAGGAACCATTCCAGATGCTTTCATAGCTGTTACTCAAAGTAGGAAGAAATGAGCCAATGAAGAGATCTGATAAAGCTGAGGGGTGCCCTAAAAGGAAGTACGGTTGACCCTCAAATAACATGGTTTGAACTACGTGTGCTTATATGCGGTTCTTTACAGTATGGTACTGCAAACATAGTTTTCTCTTATAATTTTCTGAATAACGTTTTTTCTCTAGCTTACTTTAAGAATATAGTATATGATACACGTTACATATGAAATGCATGTTAATAGATGGTTTATGTTATCGCCTCCCCTCACCCCCTCGCTGTTCAAGGGTCAACTATATTTCCCTTGCTTTGGGGACCGACCAACCAAAGGGTATTTTGCTGGGAAGTTAAGGTACCACTACCTGTGATCCACGTGTTCTGGGGACAGAACACCAAACACTGGTTAAGAACACATCCCATACACTTAGCTCTCCAACATATGGGTGTCCTATCATCTTGGGAAGTTACTCAACCTTCTTGTGACTATGAGCTTTTTCACCTCGGTAAGATAGGGACAGTCACTGTACCCAACTCAGGGTCATTCTGAGGAAATGAGGAAATGTTTGCAAAGTGTTTACAACAGTACCAACATGGTAAGAGTTTGTTAAACAGAATACATATTATCTAAAAATCCATCATCTGCAGAAAAAAATAGGGAGGTCTACCCGGCATGGCCCTTGGGAAGAGAGTAGCTGGGGAAATCAAAAAAAGATGTCTCCCAATTTCAGGGACAACCCTACCTCTTAGCCCTTGTCTACAGATGAGGGCCCACATGGAGCAGGGCCAAGGACCCCCTCTCCCCCCAGTGCCACAGCTAGAAGTCAGCAGAGCTGGAATTTCAAGTCCCATGTGCCTGACCCCATAAAGGGAGCCCCGGTGAGGTACCAGGGATCGAAGGTTCCCCGACTCACCCACAGACAAGATCTCCTGGCATTTTTCACACTGGTCCTTCATCTTCAGGCACCCAGTGGAGTTGTGACGGATCTCCTTGCACACGGCGCCGTCCTGGTTCTCTTCTGGAGACACACGAGGGAAGAGGGCATCATGCTGAGGGACCACACAGAGCAATATAGGAATGGGCCTCCCCTCTGACCCCTTCCACACTACTGTTTGCCTCTTTGAGATGCTTCTGTGGGCAGAGCAGGTTGGGAATGGGTTGCCTACAGACCTAGGCCTCTCTGATCAGGGCTCCCTGCAGAGGGACAGGAGGGGGTTCCCGGGGCTCCCTCACTTATGTGTGACCTCACCTCCCACCATCTCCATCCGATGAGCCCTTCTTGCCTCCACACTGCCATAGCTATATGCCGTTCTCTTTGGCATCTGACCCTTTCTGCTCTGCATTCTATCTGGCTCATCTCTCTCCCCCTAGGGTCAGCAAACCCCTTGAAGGCAGGAATGGGATCCTTAGAGTGGCCTTAGAACACAAGGCTCCCCCCCCCATTATGGATATGCAGTAGATGCTGTTCAATTCAATGTCCTCCTGTATCTCCAAACCGTTTCAAGCCAAACTTTGTGCCAATCCAACGGTAGCCTTTAGGAGATGGTGTTGGCTGACCATGTCTGTTAGTTTAACGAAAGAAATCACTTCTACAAGTATTGACTTTTCATGTCCATAGTAGACCTCATTCATTCAAAAAATATTCACGCATGCCCCCCGGTGATAACCAGGAACAGCTTTCTAAACTGTAGCATGGACTGATTACATAATCGGTCACCACTGTAGGCATGGCATCCACATAAAGGCACCTGGGTTCCCAAGACAAAGGGGTCTGGTTCTCTAGAAAGGAGTAATCAAAGTCACGCCCACCAGTGGCTGGAAGGGGCATGGTAAACTTGAGAGAACACAGATACCAAGTCCAGCAGGGCTACATTTGACCAGGTCCCCCTTTGTCGGCTGTGAATACTTGGACACGTTCCTCCACCTGTCATACTTTTCTCCTCCTTAAATGGGGATAATACCACCTTCATGGGGTTGCTGGGGGAAACTGGGATGCCACACGCCAAGCCCCTGGCATAGTCCTTAGAATCTAACGGCTTCTCAGTAACTTGCTTGTTCCCAACCCTTCTTAGGAAGAATGAGACGGCTTTCTAACCTTCTGTGAATTCCATTGGGAAGTGAGGGATTCTATGCAGGTTGACATCCATGGCCTGCTGAGCCTGATGTATCATGTCAAAGAAGGGCTGAAATATGTTGTGGAAATTCAAGGGTTGGTAACCAGGGAAAGGCATTATGTTCCGGGCGAAGCGGGACTTGGGATTGAAGAAGAAAGGCCTCCTCTGGAATGAGCTGAAGGGTGAGTAGCGGTAAGGGTCCTGGGGCTCACGGGCGAAGAATCTGTCCTGGAAAAGCTCATCCATAATGCTGGACACCCGGTTGAAGCTGTCCTGCATGACGTCCAGGGCGTGAGTCTGCTGCCGGTCATTCTCCATCAGGGAGTCGATGCGGTCGCCATTAATCCAGAAGTAGAAGGGAGAACTCTGGTTCAGAAACTCCTCAAGCTGTGATGGCAGAACGGGGAAGTTAGGAGAAGCTCGCTCAAGTCCCAGCCTTCCCTTGCGCCCCCTCGCTGCCCCTCGGTCACCTCAGTCACATAGCACATGACCAAAGCCCCTGCTGGGCCTGGCTCCCTGGCCCCCCAGCTGTCAGGCCAATGCCCTTCCATTCTACCTGCCCAAAGGGGGAAGAGTTTGGGAAGACATCTGAGGCCAAGAGATGCATCAACCCCTATCACCTGAGACTGGTCTCCTCTCTGGCCACCAAGGATCCCCACACCCCGACTCAGCCAAGGGCCAAAGGATGGGCCTTTGGTTCATGAGTTGCAACCAGGCGAAGCCCACAGGGGAGGATGGGATTGATATGAATGTGCTAAAATTCTTAATTCCTTCTGCCTAAGAGGACCCAGGGATGAGCCATACTACGAAGTCGTTTGTTATGTCATCCAGCTAATAATTTCTGGATAAGAATCTTCTAACACACGGCATAGGTGCTTTTAATGACTTCACACTTGCTCACTGATAGCAAACGTTACCAACTGATCGTGGACTCCAGGCCCCAATGCAGCCGGGACTGATCAACTGCATCTGGCATGTGAAATGACGTCGTGATACTGTGATTTATAAAAACAAGTGTATGTGTGGTCTTCGTCTGGTTCCTAAAGCCCTTAGAATTTCCTGTGAGGAGAGCAATAAAGTATATGCTAATAATAAATTAAAAAATAATAAAGTTATGCTAATGAGGTGGCTTTTGGAAAGCACCTGAGGATGGGGGTGGGTCTCCAGGGGAACCAACCAAGATTAGAACAATGGAATTTTTAATCCCATCTCCTGAGTTCTGGAGAGGGGGATGTGCTGGAGGTTGAACCCATCAGCAATGGCCAATGATTTTATCAATCATGCCCATGGGAGGAAGACTCCATAAAATCCCAAAAGGATGGGCTTGAGGAGTTTCTGGGTTGCTGAACGTGTGAAGATGCAGGAAAGCGGTGACCTCTCAGAGGGCATGGAATGCTCCCCACCTCTTGTCCATACCTTGAGCTATGCATTGCCTCTCTCTGGCTTTTCAGAGTTAGATCCTTTTATAATAAACCAATAACCTAATCAGTCAAATGTGTGTCTGAGTTGTGAGCTGCTCTAGCAAATTAATTGAACGCAAGGAGGGGGTTGTGGGAACCTCCAATCTATAGCCAGTCGGACAGAAGCACAAGTGACAAGCCAGACTCATGACTGGCACCTGAAGTTGCGGGGGTGGGGAGGACAGTCTGTGGGCCTGAGCCCTTAGCCCATGGGATCTCATGCCGTCTCCGGGGGGACAGTGTCAGAACTGAACTGATTTGTAGGCACCCAGCTGGTGTGGGAGAACTGCCCCACCTGTTGGAACTGGGGGCAGGACCAGAGAAGGGGCATATTTCACACCCGCATCTGCCACCCAGAGCCCCGTTGTGCTCAGCGGCCTGTCCCCTTTCACCTGGTGGCCCACCAGCCCCGAGCTGCTTCTGCAGACGCGGGCGTAGAACTTCATGCAGGTCTGTTTCAGGCAGGGCTTACACTCCTCCCAGAGGGCCATCATGGTGTCATTGCACACCCCCTGTGACGCCTTCAGCTTCGTTTCCGAATCCTTGGTATCATTTAGGGCATCCTACGGGAGGACACGAGGTCAGGTTAGCCACGCGGAAGCCATAGGCTTCACGCTCTGCAAGCAGGCACGATGGCGCCGGGCTCTCCACCCCCTCAGGCCTTTTCCCGGGTCCAGCCACACAGAGTCCCTATATCCTCCTCTGGCTCCTGCGTTCCCCCAATTGGCCTGGAATTCCCTCCCCACCCAGCTTTAAACATCTTCTCAACTTCGAGACCTGGCTCTTCTTTACAGTCCTCCCCGGCCACTAGAACGCACGTGGATATCCCCTTTCTCTGACACTGCCCTTAGTCTTGACCCCAGAGGCGCTCTGAATCTTATTAGTCAATTGCAGCCATGGCAGGAAGCAAGCCTTCAAAATCAAAGTCACAACAACTACCAAAACCCTCTAGCACATCCATGTCATTTGGCCCAATAATTCTATAAGAATCCATCCCAAAGAATTCCTGCCATAAAGGGGAAATCCATATGCATGAAGATATTTGCTATGGTATTTGTTTATGGCGGGGGGGAAAAATACTGGAATCAACCCGGATGCTTAAAAATAGAAGGTCAAGCAAATCGTTGGTCTACACAGAGGCCGGAGATGCACGGCTTTGCGAGGGTGTTCGTAGTTAAGTTTTAAATAGTATAACAAGCATTTTTCATGTTAACAAGTTGTGATTTTGAATATAGTGACTATCAGAAGAGTATGGGGGGGGGGGGAAGAGTGAGAAACAGATCAAATGTTAACAGCGAATTGTCCAGAGGTTAAAAGGGTTTCAGAAAACTTTTCCTCTTCCACTTTTCTATATTAAAATCTCGACAAATGAGTGTATTAATGCTTCGAAGAAGAGTTAAGTAGACCATCCACACCCAAAGCAAAGAGCTGACTAGGAAAGAGTTTGAGTTCTGTGAGATCCCTCTCCTGTTCCGGGTCCCCTGTTCCTGCTGGGAAGGCCACCAGGCCTCCTACTGAGCCAATGCACCATCATCAACTACACGGCCCACTTCCTTTCTTTCCCGTTCACAGATTCGGGAACTAAGACGGCATGGAGTCTTTTCCTGAACTTGATGGGCTTTATCACAGGACCTGGATTGTAGGATACCAAACTCTGATGATAACCACAAAAACTCAAAAACAGGACTTGCCTGACACTTCTCTATGAGCTACTTGAGGATTCTCATAGTATTATGCTGAGCGAAATAAGTCAGTCAGAGAAAGACAAGTATCATACGATCTCACTGATATGAGGAATTCTTAATCTCAGGAAACAAACTGAGGGTTGCTGGAGTGGTGGGGGGGTGGGAGGGATGGGGTGGCTGGGTGATGGACATTGGGGAGGGTATGTGCTATGGTGAGTGCTGTGAATTGTGTAAGACTGTTGAATCACAGACCTGTACCCCTGAAACAAATAATACATTATATGTTAAAAAAAAGAAGATAGTAGGAAGGGAAAAATGAAGGGGGGGAAATTGGAGGGGGAGGTGAACCATGAGAGACTATGGACTCTGAGAAACAAACTGAGGGTTCTAGAGGGGAGGGGGGTGGGGGCATGGGTTAGCCTGGGGATGGGTATTAAAGAGGGCACGTAATGAATGGAGCCCTGGGTGTTATACGAAAACAATGAATCATGGAACACTACATCAAAAACTAATAATGTAATGTATGGTGATTAACATAACATAAAAAATTAAAAACAAAAACAAAGAATGGTGAAGAAAAACACTGATACCAAGGAAGGGCATTAAGTGTCAAAAGAAACCGCTGAATCGGCCAGCATTTCCCTAAGTGGCTTCTAGGGAATTGTGCTAAAAGCTATGATGGGGAGAGGAGTGCCTCGGTGGCTCAGTAGGTTAAGCGTCTGCCTTTGGCTCGGGTCATGATCTCAGGGTCCTGGGATCAAGCTCCATGTCAGGCTCCCTGCTCAGCGGGGAGCCTGCTTATCCCTCTCCCTCTGCCCCCCTCCCTACCCCCAGTCATGTGCACTCCCTCTCACTCCATCTCAAATAAATAAATAAAATCTTTATAAAAAAAAAAGCTATCATGGGGAGAAAAAAGGATTTCCTGATCAATTTGGTTTGGAAAACACAGGGTTAAATGAAGTTCTACGAACTTCTTTACTACAGAACGTCTCAGAGCCTTTAAAACACTTTACTATGCATTATGGGTCATGAAGGTGGCAGGTGACCTGTCTTAGCATCTCCTTCATTAGGGGTAGGGAGGCAATGGGAGTAGGTTTTTAGGATACCCTTAAGGAGACTACTGACTTTTTAAAAATAAGTCGTTTATTCCATTATGGTGTTTTAGTTTTGTTGAATCATTAAGCACAGGCTAGACCCACTATTTTCACTATCCGACTTAAATGTCTCTTTATGAAGTACTCAGAACTCTAGAAAGCCATGGGGTACGGCAGTGTGTACCTGCCTTAACCCCAAAGTTATTGCCCTACTCGATAAGCTTCCTGAAGGTAGGGTACCATCCCCCTCCTGACCCAGGACAGACCCAAACCAGAGTCTACCTTGGAGCTTGCATAGTCAGGGTTTAGAAAAATCTATTGAAGTGAATAATCGGTCATCATCAGGCCCTGGGCCAGGCTGGTAAGAAACCAATCCAAGATCTAACCCCTTGAAGCTTTCAAAAGCAAAGAAACCTTCCCTCTTTTCTTAACTACAGCCCCAGCATCAGCCAGACACTAGCCTGAAAGGGCTGAGTGTCACCATGACAACCCAGCAGGGCACCAGAAGGGTGATGACCACTCCCCTCCAGCAGGGGAACTCAGGTTGGGGGGGGGGGCGGGTGCAGTCAGCTGGCTCCTCCTTACCTCTTTCTTCTTCTTGGCTTCTTCCAAGTTGCTGAGCAGCGATTTGCGCTCCTCGTTTGTTTGTTCTATTAGGGTCTTTATCTGTTTCACCCCCTTGAGAGCATTTTTAATTTCCTTATTAATGTACTTACTCCCCTCGGTGGACATTTCTGCAAGAGAAGGGCAGGGAGGGAGAGTGAAGAGAGAGGCAGAGATGGTGCTGGGGATATCACCCTAGAACCAGCTGGGATGGTCTGGAAGGCCAGTTCGGTCTAGGGGCTGTCAAGGCTGGGAGCACCCACCCCAGCAGGCAGCCTTCCGGCCCCAGCTTTGCCCTGACCCGGGGGCCCGTCATGGGGCTTATTGTGGACCCAGGGCCCAAATAGCGATTATGCTAGTTGCTCAGGGAGCACAAAGCACTGGCCCAGGCACACCCCAGGGGAGGGACAGCGAGCAGCATGATGCCCCTGCGGCTCTGGAGAACGAGCCTGCCTAGCTGCACGAGAACACTTCCACGGAAAAAAATATCCTGAGAAACAGAACAGAAGAGCATAGGGGAAGGGAAGGAAAAATAAAACAAGATGAAATCAGAGAGGGAGACAAAGCATGAGAGACTCTTAATCATAGCAAAGAAACTGAGGTTTGCTGGAGGGGAGAAGGGTGGGGGGATGGGGTAACTGGATGACAGGCATTCAGGAGGGCATGTGATGGACTGAGCACTGGGTCTTATATGCAACTGATGAACCACTAATCTCTACCCCCTGAAGCTAATAATACACTATATGGGACTTAAAAGAAAAATTTTTTTAAAAAATATTCTGGAAGCATAACTGTTCAAACATCAAAATGTAAAATCTTATTTTGGACACAAGTGTTTCTGGGAGTCCGTTTTACCAAACATCTGAACTTCCTTATTCCATGGTTCCACGTGATAGGGGACACAAAGATGAATTAATGGCACCGTTCCACAGGAGACCATGATCGAGACACAATGCCGTGTGGCAAATGCAATGAGACAGTGTCACCGAGGTACTAAAGAAGTAACAGCTAAGGCTTTTCTGGTGGTTCTCCTGGGCCAAGCACTGAGCCGGCCACATCACATGCCCTTTTATGCAATGCTCTCTGCACTGAGGTCATCCCCCTCCTGCACCGACGAGGAAAAAGCAGCAGAGTGAGATCAGATTCTTGCCCCGGGTTAATACAGCTAGGGAGTCACAGAGCCAGACACATACCCAAGTCTGATCTCCAAGTTTGAGTTTTTAACTACGACCCCAGAGAACCAGTCAGCTTTTAGGACAAGCATGGGGAGGAGGGCGGGGGGTGGGGGGGCTTCAGGAAAGGCCTGGCAGAGGAGGGGACCTCGAAGCTAGGCTCTGCAGGACATGGAGCCCTTACCTGGATATGGAGCATTGGGTTTCTAGGTGGAAAGGTGTAGGGTACATATAGTAGGTGCTATGGAGACTCAAAAATGGAAACTCACAAAGTCTCGAATGAGGCAGGCTTCCCGGAGGAGGCGTGGGCCCCGGGACAAGCAGACTGGTGAAAAGAGATGCAGCGGCCAGAAAGTGCTGGGGATACACCTGAAAAATGCCCAGAAGCCCACCTGACGGCCAAGAACATAGACCAGGTAGCTGGGCGGGGGAGGAGGCTCTGAGAGGGGCCAGCCTGAGCAAAGCAGATGGGATGCACAGGACCAAACCGTCTCTACCGCTTCAGGCCCTGGCAGAGAGGAAGTGTGCTAGGACAGGGAACACCTGCTCCACTTACCCTGGAGCTCTGTGTCTGAGACCGTCTGGTCTCCCAGAACCCGTCCATTCTCCCAGGTCAGCAGCAGCCCCACCAGCAGCAGGAGAGTCTTCATGGCGCCTCCCTCTCCAATTCTGGAATCCCAGCAGGCCTCTGTTTGTAGAGAACAGGAGACTGTCATGGTAACAGCTAGCCAGGCTGCTGGTTTCCGGCCCGGCCTGCAGCCTACAGCAGCTTCTCCAGAGCCCCACGGAGGCCCTGCCCTCAGCTGGCCCCTCGGCTGCCATTACTGTGTTTTTATCCCCCAGGGAAACTGGGGGAAAAGCTCAGTCTTGCCCCGGGACCCTTCAAAAGAAAGTGGCTACAGGGAGGAACCGTAGGAGAAGATGCCTAATACGGAAGAAACGAGAACTCTGGAGTCAGAGCTCTGGGCTCAGGTCCAGCCCTCCCCCCCCAGCCCCCCTCCCCCCGGCCGCCCCAGAATCGCTGACTAAGCCTGAGCATGTGCTTTCTGCATCCAGGAAGGATGTCTATCTGATACCTGCTCATGTCAAATAAACCCTCAGAACACCTCTCTGGGCTGACTCACCGGCCCCTCTCCTTCCCCAGCCCTGATGTGGGGACTGCGTAGACCCCACTTGTGCTGTGTGCATCACTAATCGGGCCCACAGCAGGCGTTCCCAATCCATCACAAAAGAAAAATCCCCTTTTTTTCCACCAAGCCTCAACACCCCCTAAAACGGCATTTTAAGACTCTGAGGCAGTGAGAGCCAGCCCTTCGGGGGTTGGCAGAGGAAAATAAAGGTCATTTGCCACGCCTCGCATGAGACCTGAGATCTATATCCCTGCACAGATTTGGGGTATAAATGCAGTAGAACAGGGGGCAATTGTCTTCAGAGAGTGGGGGGGCAAAGTCAAAGGGTTAAAGGGTGGACCCTGCGCCTCCCCAGGAGAAGTTTCCTCTGGATGGATGGGCCCCTCTGCCGCCAGGTCCCTTCCCCGTGGCTCTCCCCTTTGAGCCCACAGTAGCGTGCCCTGCCAAAGTGCCCCTGCCACCACTCAGCTGACTGCTGGGAGCCCAGGACAGCCCAGTCTTACACAATGGACCCTTTCCCAGAAGCTGGAGCTGTTGCATAAAACAGAACCCCTCTCCCCAGCAGCCCGTCTTCTGGCCTCCTCCCTCTCCCCCCACCTCCCCCCCCCCGCACCACTGTTTATCTGAATCCTCTCATTTCCCCTAACAGAACAGGGAGGTGGGTCCCCCCTTCCCGAAACTGTGAACATCTAAAAACTGCCCTCAGCTCGGCAGGCCCATAGGGACGTATCTGGTAGCACATAAATAAAGGAAGCCTCGCCCGGAAAGTCATTAGTCAAGAGGCCAAGCTGTGCTTCCCAAACCAGCCACGCAGAGCAAAGGAGCAGCGTGGGAGAAGAGAGTGGGTCATTGCCTTCCCCAAAGACAGGGTGGGTGGCTATTTCAGGCCTGATAGAAGGCCCAGGGCTCACGGGCTCTGCTCTAGCTGCTCACTAAGGCCTGAAATGCCTCAGACAGAAACAGAGCTTTGGCCACGCCAGAGAGAGAAAGCCAGCAAGAACACCCAGCTATCGGGGAGAGGCCCCAGGATACTTCTCAGAAATTCATACAAGAGCCTCTGAAATAGGTCTGGACCAGGAGACAGGGCATTGGGCCCTGAAGAAAAGAGAGCTGAAGGCAAGAGCACTGACTGAGGAGTCTGGAAACCCAGCAGCCAGTACAGTCTCCCACCAGGAGCCTGGGCCATGGGGAGCAGTCTCCTGGCCCAATCCCTCTGCCTCCAAGGGGAGGTCAAGCCCAGAGACAGCATGGGGCTCCCCAGGCCCGCAGCAGGCTGGCAACCCCAGGAGGACAACCCAGCCCTCCCAACCTTCAGTCCAGTTTCCTTCCCTGACACCATGTCACTTAAATCTGAGCCTCAGTGTCTTCATCTGTGAAATGGCCCCAGCGTGGACCTCCGAGACCTGAATGCCTTCTGCAAACACATGGGTCTTAGATAGTCATAGTAAATTCTGGCTATTCGAAATCTGACCTAGGACCAGCTGTGGGCATTGGCACTATCTCTCGGGGAAGTGGAAGGAGGTGGCATGTTTCAGAGGGACCGAGGAACCTGTGGTCCCTCCCTGTGGGGCTTTGCTCCTTTAGAGCACCTAGGAATCACCCGGGGCGGGGGGTCTTATGACAATGCGGACTCCAACTCAGAACGTGACATTGACACTGCTCTTCCAAGGACAGCACTGGAACTGCCCTCCGTATGCGCCGATTCTCCTCTCCTCTCAGCTCGGGCCTGGGCACCCGGCTGCCAACTGCTCTGACTGGGACAAGCCCTGCCAAGGTCCTCCACTCCCCACCTCCGCCAGGCAGCCTCTTTCCCCCAAGGACGCTTCACCCGCGCAGATGGAGCCACGGGGAAGCACGCAGAGACCTAAGCCAAGCAGTCACGCAGCTGGGCTGCTCCACGGTTTTTTAAAGCCCAAGGCCCAAGCTCCAATCCTACTGCCTCCCCAAATGTAGAAACCAAACCGAAAAGAAAAACGAGGCACCTGTAATTCATACCATCCAGACGCAACTCTGTGGTAGATCTCCTTCTATTTTCTATGCATTTGTGTGCAATCAGATCCCTTACACCCACTATCTTCAAATAGTCTTTAAAAGCACACCTCTGAGGCTGCAGAGGTGTCCTGCAGTCCTGGTCATTAGTCATTAGTCAGAGAGTGGGGGGGGACAAAGTCAAAGGGTTTTGGTGTCCTCTATTTTGCCATCCCACAAGGTTGGGCATTTACATTGTATATAATTTCCCACTGTTATTATAATGAAGACCCCAGTCGGCACCCTATCATTTTATCTGTCCTTATTCTTAAATTCCCAATCTCTCTTTAAAAAAAATAAGCATAATAAGCAGCTTCTTCTTCTTCTTCTTTTTTTTTTTTTATTAGGTCCAGAAATTCTGGAAGATCAAGGTTTCAGTTCTAGTCCTGATTCTGACACCTACATGCTGTTTATCTTGGGAGAGGATCCTAAAGCTCTCCAGGCCTCAGATTATCATCTATAAAATGCGACGTTTGGAGCAGATGTCTGCGATCTGATGGCGATTGTGACTTTTCTCTGCTGTATCCTGGTGCTTTCGGAAGCAGAAAGAGTGGGATTTAAGTGGTTGCAACATGTACTTAAATCAAAACACACTTATAAACACCCTATGGAGAGAACTACGGATTTCGGGAGCAGACAAGATGACCCAAGCAGGCAAGCTGACAACCACCACTGGAGCTCAGTACCCGGACAAGGAGGATGCCACAGGAAGGTCCGGGCCTCCGGCATTAGTTCTCCCAAATCTCGGTTCCCCATCTTTGCAAAAGGAGGGTCATTACACCTGTCCTAGTTACCCCACAGAATTGTGGCTGGAGCTAGCGAGTACGGGAGCTCCGGAGTCCCGGCCTGAGCGCCACCGCCCAGCAATTCTGCTTCCAGCTCGGCGGCCTGGTGATGGGGCTCGGGCCACCTCCCTTCCCTGGTTCCCCGACTCCATCCAAAGCGCAGCTCAGACAGCTCAGGGAGTACCAGCGATCTTCCTGTCCTCTCCTGGTTGCCACCCCTGCCCGCCCTGGGTCCCGGTGGGGCTCTGCGCCGGGTAGGAGAGGTGGGGACATCTCACCGGTCAGCGGCGCCCGGCGACCGTGCGCAGCTCCTGGCGACACCGCGTGGTGAGCACCGTGAGGCGCGCGTATTTATAGCGCTCTGTCTCGTCTACACCCCCTTTGGGGCTGGCTGCAAACCTGCATGACTCACGCCCAAAGAATGCTGTGGAATTCACCGGGAGCTTTCTGGAAGCTGGCGCCGGAGGGGATGCGGAGGCGGGGTAGGGGGGGCGCTCTCGGGCAGCACCGGGCGGGGGGCGCGCGTAGGGTGGGGAGGGGGTGCGGGGGAGGCAGGGCATCTGCACGGAGATGGGCGGCGCCGGGGTGCTGCCGTGCACCGCTCCCCACTCGCCGGCGGCTCAGAGCTGGGTGACAGTGCCCCCAGGAGGGGAGAGCTCGAGCTAACTTGCGCAGCTTGGCGACCCCTCCACAGGGTTCCAGGGGTCCACTGCGCTCCCGGCCGGTTCCCAGTCCAAAATAAAATCGCACAGTTCTTTCACATTGAACGTGAGCCTTGTTCCACTTAAGTAGAAAAGCATCAGAAATAATGAGGGTGGGATGGAGAGGGTGTTGTGGGAGAGAAGAACACAGAGGGAGAAAGAAATACCGACTTCTCCCCCCATCACAGAGATCCCGTGGGCCTTTGGTGCACCTGCTGGCCAGGAAGAAACAGAAGGGTATTTTTAGGGGTGAACAGAGCATACATTTGGGGAACCAGAACGTCCCCCTGGCTCCTTGATTCCTAAACCTTAAGCAGTTATTCTCCCCATCCACTTGGGGCCCAGAGCTGGGCGGGCTTCACGGTGTGGGATTCGGCAGTCCCACACTTGGCTTGAGGGCTCTCGATGCAGTCTTGAAATTCCTCTTAGTTGTTGAACAAGGGGTCCTGAATTTTCATCTTGCACCCGGCCTTGCAAATTATGTGCAGGTCCTCTTTGCAAGGGGGCTCACTCAGCTCGGTCTGTCTCAGTTCCCTCTGCTGACAGGAGGAGCTTATTTCTAGACTCCCTTTGGCAGGGCGCTTTGGTGTGACAGAGATGGGAGACTTCTCATCACCCCCAGGCAGGGAGGCCACCAACCCAGACGTCCCTCAGGTATAGCTACTTCTTGGGAAGGAAACAGAGCCACCCACTCTGGACCCTCAGGACATTTGCACTCCAGGTGAAAAGTCAAGCTGCCTGCAGGTGGTTCTCACACCGATGAGGGGAGATGGATAGGCAGAGGGGGTGTAGGCAACCTGGTTTGGGTGGCCGACTTTGAAAACCATGTGAGACAGAAGCCTTTAGGGGAGAAGAGACCTGTATGGTCAGGGGCTGAGTTTTTCCGCTCACAACTTCAAGAAATACAGCTTGAGTTCCAGTCCCTGGTTGCCCAGGGTCTGGGGACAACTGGGACCCCACCCTTTTTCCGGAGGGAGCACAGATGCAGCTTCTAGGCCTATGAAGAAGTTGGGGCACTTGAGCTGGTTGCATGGATTTCTGACTACAGTCTCAGCTCTGCCCTAAGGTGCTGGGTGACCTTGGACAACCACTTTGCCCTCTGGGCCTCAGCCTCTTCCCTGTGGACGACGAAGAATCTGGAAGGTAGGTGTCATCTCTAAGGTCCCATTCAACCTCACCTGAGACAATGCCAAGTGTTGAGAAAATCAGCCCAGAAGGAAAAAAAATCCAGTGAAAATGTGGAACAATATTTCTCTCCTGAGGCTTCCTTTTATTTTTCTCAAAAAAAAAAAAAAAAAGAAAAAAGTCTAATTATCAGTAAAAGCTACATTTTCTATGGAAACTGCCTCCTCCTTAGCATATCAATGGCTGAGGTCACAGGAGCTGTTTTTGAGCACATTCCTTGTAACTTTTCTGTTCTGTGCCCCCCCCCATCTGGCACAGGAGGCACAATTCTGTGATAATTATATTTGTAAAAATCAGACGTTGGAGGACAGGCAAGGAGATCTGCCTTAGTCAGCTGAAGTCGGGGAAGGGAGGAGAGGAAGAAGGGATTTGGAAGAAAATAACACGATTCACAGCCACGACTGTGGTCCCCTAGGAATGATTACTTGATTACTCTAGCTACTAAGCAAACAAGGCTCTGAAGATTAAACTTTAAGGGGGAAAGTGGGAATTTTGAAAGCTCTCACACCATACTTCAGCGCTGACTCCCCACCACCACCAGCAACGTTCCCCCCAGGTGATCATCCTGCCTCTGTTTGAATGCCCCCCAGTGACTGGGAGCTTACTCCCTGTATGCAAACAGCTGTCTAGAAAAGCTAATGATAGCGTTAGGTTCTCAGAGGCAGGCTCCTGCAAGGGCCCCAAGCCCAGTTTTGTCCTTTGAAACCATACAGGAAAACCCAACCCATCTCCCCTTTGCTAGTCCTTCAGATATTTGAAGGCAGAGCTAAGTGCTTCTCCCAGTGATCTCCGGGCTTGTGGCTGCCTGCCCTGTCCTTGTTTGTGGATTCCTCCCCAGCCCTTCAGCTTTCAGGACCTTGCCTCTCTTGAGGCTCTGAGCCCAGCTGAGAACCTGCCAGTACCAGGGAGAGCTGACCACCTTTTCCCTTGCTCAAATGCTCTAGATGAGCTTTTGTTCAGCTGCTGAGTCATTCAGCTGATTCATATAGAATTCATCATCTTTTTGGCAGATGCGGCTGTTTAATCATTTTGCACCCATCTTGGACTTGTGCAATCAGTTTGGGGTTTGTAACTTGATTTTTTTTCCTGGAACAGGGGACCCTGGGGAGGGGGGAGGGGGAAAGTAAAGAGCTTTACGTTTACCGATTTATCTGATTGATCTCTGTGTGCTTTGCCCCACCATCTCTCCCCTGCTGTGCTCTTTGTCATGCATCCCCATCACGGCCACACTGTCCAGCTCGGTGCCACCAGCATGACAGGTTAACCAGCGCCGATATAGCTGGGACAAGCTAGAAATGGACAAGAGCAGTAAGGACCCCGTGGCCTGCTATTAATAATGCCTCTCCAGGCTCGAACTGTGGAACGGGGATATTCCGTCGATTACAGACCTATGAAAAAAATCACGCATAATACAATTATATACAGTAAACTCAACCCACAGCTGATGCAGAGGTGTCCTGAATGCTTTTTCAGGGCCCTTCCAACATACAGAAAGTTTCACTCCATCAGTTGCATTTCCCTATCCTCCCATCTAGGGAATACTTTTTTGGGAAAAGATATGAAGCTAGCCTCCTCCAAGTTGCTTGTCATGGACCTCGAAGTAGACAAATATTACTTAAAATATCTTCACTGTTACACTTGCTGTTGACTGACTATATGGTCTAGATTTTACTCCAGAGTTGGTCAACTCTAACATTTAGCTCCAATTCTTTGGTTAGTGGGCATTTTTAAAAGTTTTATTTATTTATTTCAGAGGTGGGGGGAAGCAGAGGAAGAAGGAGAGAGAGAGAGAGAATGCTGGAGCAGACTCCCCGCTGAATGCAGAGCCTGACATGGGACTCCATCCCAGGACCTGGAAATCATGACCTGAGCCGAATCAGCTGCTCAACAGACTGAGCCACCCAGGTGCCCCAATGGGTGTATTTTTAATTGGCCCCTGATCTGTCTCAGGGCAAACCTACTTTTTCCACAGCCACCGGGAATCCAAGTAGTTATTATTTTAGATCCGTGGTTTTCAATGGGACTATACAATGGAATCACCTGAGGAGCTTTAAAACTTACCAGTGCCTGAGTCCCACCACCAGAGGTTATGACTGAATCAAGCTGGGGTGCAGCCAGAGAAAGCATCAGGACTTTTCATATTCTCCAGGTAGTTTGTTTTGTTTTGCTTTGTTTTGTTAAGATTTTACTTATGTAATCAGAGAGAGAGACCGGGAGAGCACAAGCGGGGCGGCGGGGGGCAGGGGAGGGAGAAGCAGGCTCCCCGCTGAGCAAGGAACCCGATGTGGGGCTCGATCCCAGGACCCTGGGATCATGACCTGAGCCAAAGGCAGACGCTTAACCGACTGAGCCACCCAGGCGTCCCTCTCCAGGTAGTTTTAATGCACAGCCAAAGTTGAGGACCCCTGTTTTCCAATTTACAAGTTACTGGCTTACACTATGCCCGTTGATCCTCACTGTATCTCTAAGTCACTGTTAAGAGTATGTGGTATTTTTCTATTTTGTAAAAGACAAAATTAGGGGTCAAAAGAATCTTAGCCGGTTTTGCTTACCCTGAGCTGAAATCTGCCCCTTTATCACTTCTCTGTCCCTCATCTTATTTCTAAGGTGCTATATGTTAATTAGCCCTCCTCTACAGGATAGCCCTTCAAACATTTGAAAACAATGATTCTATCTCAACTTAGATATGTTTCTTTCTTTTCTTTTCTTTTTTAAGATTTTTCTTATTTATTTAGAGAGAGCATGAGTTGGGGGAGGGGCAGAGGGAGAGAGAGAATCTGAAGCAGACTCCCCACTGAGCGCAGAGCCCAGTTAGGGGCTCCATCTCACGACCCTGAGAGCATGACCTGAACCCAAATCAAGAGTCAGACGCTTAACCGACTGAGCCACCCAGGTGCCCCAGACATATTTCTTTATACAGGTCCTTCAGTCCCTTCTCATAGAGTGAGGTTACCAGATACCTCATTGTGCTCCTCCCTGACCCAAGGGTGCTCCATTTTGTCCCTGCTCTTCTGGTGTGGCTTTAGGGACAAACACAAGACCCAGCTTTGGGCAGCCAGGCGGGAGGGCCCCGAGACACAACGTGTGATTTAATACGAAACTCCCTGTGCCCCCAAGGCACCCTCTGCTTACTTTTCTAACATGGTGTAACACACTGTGCTTCTCCAGTTGGTTTATACTGACCCCTGGGGCAGGCTCTGGGGCGCTGAGAGTACACAGAGACACAGAAGCAACTGACTGCAGTTTTATTCAGATTAGGGCGAAAAGTTAATCTTTAGAGAGTAATCCATTTCCCTTCCTTGTCTTCCTTCCTTCATTTCTTCCTTTCTTTCTGTCTTTATTCAGTTTCTCCCTAAATCTCATGCTTGGAAAGTGATGGATGTCTACTCATACATGAATTTATATTTAGAATGTATGTCTGTATATGTAATATATATACATAATCTGTATTACATATCTAAACAAATAAGGGATTTTGCCTTTTTCTTTTCTTTTTCAAAATACATTGAAAATCGTATTATACATATTGCTTGCTCTTTTCCACAATATCACGGATATTGGGGATATCCCTCCCGGTCATACGTAGATAGATATAAACCATGCTTTTCCAAAGCTACATATTTTATTCAGCCATTGCCCTATTCCAATTTTTTTCTGTCACTATAAACTTGACACAATAGACAGCCTTCCACAGGTATCCCTAATATGCAGGTGCCTTTAACTGCCCTGAGTTAGACTCTCACATTGGGATTGCTGGGGAAAAGGGAATGTGTAGGATAAAGGAGGACTGTCGTCTGCATGTTAGTATTTACTGCCTGCTGGTTTTCCCAAAAGGTAGTGGTAACTCCCATTCTCTTTGACAATGTCCTTTCCCCATGTGATCATCAGACTGGATGCTGCTGGCCTTTCGAATTTTGGCCAATCTGGTTTGTGAAAATGACATTTTGCCACCTTAATCCCTTTGCCTGTTTCATTGTTTTCAATGAATCATTTTTTTTTTTAAGATTCTATGTTTAAGTAATCTCTATACCCAGGGTGGGGCTTGGACCCACAATCCCGAGGTCAAGAGTCACAGGCTCCACCGACTGAGCCAGCCGGGTGCCCCTCAATTAACCACTCTTACATCAAGTTTCCTCTTCTGTCACTTGCCTATTCACATTGTTTGCTCATTTTATTGGACTTTGACCTTTTTTCCTATCAGTTTATAGGATCACTTGAAATAAATAAATTTTATATGTGTGGTGCAAATGTTTGTACCAAGTTATTATGTGTCTTTTACCTTTGATTACGGAGGGTCTTAAAATTTTTATGTAGTGAAATTTGGTTTTCCCTTTATAGTTTCTAAGTCTCCTGACCTGCTTCAGAATGTCTCACTAAAATATAGACAGTCATTCTCTCGATTTTCTTCTAGTTTTCTGTTTTTATATTTATATTTAGATATTTAATCCAAACTGGAATATGTGTGTGTTTTTGTGGGGTGTGTGTATGTGTATGGCATGATATGTGTGTGTGTATGTGTGTGTTTATGGTGTGTGCATGGTAGGTGTTTTGTGTGTGTGTGTGTTTGTGGTGTGTGTGTGGAGGAGGGAGGTGGGGCAAGGATGTAATTTCATTTTTTCCCAGACCTACAGCCAATTATGTCTACATGATGTATCAAATAAACTACCGTATTCATTCTGAGTTGAAATGTCAGTTTGTCATCTGTGAAGTTTCCCAAATAAATTTGGATCTGTTTTAGGACTTTCTAGTTTATTCCTCTGATTTATTTTTTTTATTCCTGTGTAACATACTGTTTTCATTACATAGCTTGAAAAAATAATTAATATTGAAAAGATAATCTCCCTCGCCCTTCCTTTACAAAAATTAATTAATGTTCTTCTTGGACATTAATTCTTCAGTATGAACTCTGATTTTGTCCCGTTTGAACAAAAAATGGTATTGTAATTATAATTGCACTGAATGTACATACTGGTTTTAGAAGAATTCACATTTTTATATTCTTTCTTCCTACTCAGAAGCATAACATAGGTCTAGAAGTAATTTAAACTATTATTTTTGTTTCTAAATAAAGTTTTCTTTTATTGAAGCGAGATATGTGTAGAATTTGCAAAGATCAAATAGTACAAAATGTACCAAAGCAGCAGTCCTCCACCACATTCCTCACCCTCGCTCTTGCCCAGGCTGCCGCCACACCCTCTCCCAACCCAGAAAAGCATTACTTCTATATTCCAACACGTATCTTTGCGTCGTGATATGGCACACAACGTTTACATCATTTTTCAAAATAAGAGGGAAGATTTCAAAGCCATTTTTCTACTTCTGTCATTGTGGCGGTGGAAAAGTTAGAGAAATCTTGACGAAGCATAGTATACTGAAATGTATCCGACTAGAGTTCAACTGTTCGCCCACTTCCATTCAGCTTTGTGCTCCCATTCTCTAAGACATGGCCCAGCATGCAGTAGGTGCTTAATAAATACTTGTTAAATTACCTGAGTCAGTTTTTCAATTATTGGGATCTGAGATCCCAGTTGGTTTTTTTTTTTTTCGGTAGTCTTATCCTATTTTTGATTCATATCAAAACTGTAATATCTACAAGGTTAGGGAACCTATCCCCAGCACTAGCACAGCTCCTTGCTACGTGTCTGTGTAATAAGGGAATGAAAGCCATACATGGCCAAATATCAACTACATCTTTTTCTCTGAATTACTAAGCTTCATCCTTTGTTAGTGCAACTGATGGTGAATCTTAAATATAAGGTTTAAATTTATTCTTCTTGAATTTTGTCTTTTTTTCCCCTTGAATTTTATCTTATAAGTGTACTGTGGACACCTGTCCAGGTTGTTCTGAATTTTGTTCTTCCAGTTTTGAACGAGAAATAAAGAAATAAGCATGCCTTCTGCGTCTCCTCCATCTGGAGTATAAATAGGAATGTCCATTAGGACCCTTCTTATCACATTAAAAGCCCAATCTCCTGAAGGCCTGCTATCAAGAAATTGCTGTATACCAAATCCTTTGGAAAATATCTTCCTCAAAAGCTTTCATGTCCCTCTGGCTCTGGTCTTTCCATTTTGATATGTATGATTCTTCTTTACCTGGAGACAGGTGTTTTTCCCATCCTCTTTGCAGTAATCCAAATTACAGAGTTCCTGCAGGGATCCCTTTCCATTATCTAGTGGATGGTTTGGCCAAAAGAGGCTTCTCCTTCTTCTTTCATCTATATCCAGCCCCAAATGACGTCTGCCACATTCTTCCTGAATTTATAATTGATTCAGATGAAAAAGCTAAGTATTTTATCTTTGCTAATACCTTATTATATTAATCTGGAAGATTTGTTCAAGCTCTGATGCATCTCTGTAATTAAACTGCTTTAGGGGCGCCTGGCTGGCTCAGTGGGTAGAACATGTGACTCTTGACCTCAGGGTTTTAAGTTCAAGCCCCGTGTTGGGTGTAGGGATTACTTTAAAAGTAAAATCTTTTAAAAAATAAAAACAAACTGCTTTTCTTAGAACTTCACCCTTACAGAGTTCATAAAATAAGGTGTTCCATTTGACAATATGAAGCCCCCTTTAAGAATTTGCAGGCTAGACATTTGCAACGACATGGATGGAACTGGAGGGCGTTATGCTGAGTGAATTAAGTCAATCAGAGAAAGACATGTATCATATCACCTCACTGATAATGAGGAATTCTTAATCTCAGGAAACAAACTGAGGGTTGCTGGAGTGGTGGGGGGTGGGAAGGATGGGGGGGCTGGGTGATGGACACTGGGGAGGGTATGTACTATGGTGAGTGCTGTGAATTGTGCAAGACTGTTGAATCATATATCTGTACCTCTGAAACAAATAATACAGTATATGTTAAAAAAAAAAAAGAAGATAGCAGGAGGGGAAGAATGAAGGGGGGGAATCGGAGGGGGAGATGAACCATGAGAGACGATGGACTCTGAAAAACAAACTGAGGGTTCTAGAGGGGAGGGGGTGGGAGGATGGGTATTAAAGAGGGCACGTTCTGCACGGAGCACTGGGTGTTATGCACAAACAATGAATCATGGAACACTACATCAAAAACTAATGATGTAATGTATGGTGATTAACGTAACAATAAAAAAATTTAAAAAAAAGAATTTGCCGGCTAGAAGAATTCATATTATATAGCATCACCCACTGGTAAAGAGTGGTATTGCAGGGCGCCTCTTAGCCACTATACATTCTCAAAAATTCTCATACTGATAAATGTGAAGTGAGGCAAGAATCCATACGCATGGGAGAAATCTTAGGTGAATTTCTGGGGGAAAGCAATAAAAGATCGGAAACTTAAGAATTGTGAAAATAGCACATAGTTCAGAGAATGGGCCGAAGAAGGCCAATTTAACACTTCTCCAGGCAAACCTCTTCAACTGAAAATATCAATGGATTTTTTTTCCCCAGGAAATTCTATTTCTTATTTTAAATGGAGTCCAATAGGAAAATGGGATTTACATTTTCCTGGATGGCCGACATTGCTGGAACATTGTTATGAAATACCGTGGACTGGCCCTCTGTGTCCTTTCAAAAATTTACTCCTGGGCAGCATTGATGGTGTGGTGGTGAGCATACCTGCCTTCCAAAAATATTTCTCTCTTTAGCTTCCCAGGAATGATTATTTGGGTGATTAACAAGGCAGCATGAACAAGGCGGTCACACTGCGAGGAGTTTTAATCCATGGCATTTGAGAGCTCATTGGGGGAGTAAGGGCGAAAACCTTGCTAAGGTCTGGGCTGGAGAGGGATTTGTTAATGCACCGAAGGTCTCACCAGCATCCATGTTTCCCCCTTTCCTCGCGGTAACCCAGCTAAGGGATATTTCCCTGCCCCCTTGCCTTTGTTTGAGGTCATGTGACTGAGATCTGGCAGTGGAATGGGGCTGACAGTGACTATGTGCCTCTTCTAGGTCTGTGCTGTGCTCATCTCCAATCCACAATCCTCCGACCTCTCTTTCCATTCTCAATCAACCTGGGAGGCCACCTACTGAAGATGGCAGCATCTCAGGACGGAAGAAGCTGGATCCTCCAGCCAACATTTGTAAGTGAGCCACCTAACCTGCAATGGATTGTGAAATACGTGAGAAATAAACCACTGCTGTGCTGTCTTTAAAGTCTTGCAGTTATTTATCAGAGCCAGCGCTACTTGCTCTAACTACTACAGAAACTCTCTTGAAATGGGATTCCATGGTCATAAAAACATAAATATGTGGCATAGCTTAGCAACTGTGTAGCAGGGTGCAAAGAACCTGCAAATAGAGGCTGAAAATATGAAAATCTTTATTATGCAGTGGCAACATATTTGGTAACCTGTGTCCGTGCTATCTAGGACAGCAGACCACATGCCTACTGACGCTCAGGGGCATTTGTTGGAAAGAAAGTGATAGCCTATGTTCTCTGCTGTTGGTGATATTTGGCAAAGCAATCTTAGAAAAAGATGAGCTCAGGAGAAATGGATGGTTTGCAAAGAGAAATAAAAGGGAACAGAGAGAGTTCAGAAAATTTAAGCCTGATAGGGAGGAAAACACCAAAGGCTTCTAGATCCCAAACAACAGAAAAGGCCCACTGAGACCCAGCCTTGGGGAAAATATCAGATTAAGGATATGACCTTCCCAGTCAAGTCTTGTAGCATCAAGGTAGCAACCTGCCCCTTGAGAGACAGAAAGAGGCACAGGAGACAGAAACAAGGAAATAAAGCAGGTTTGGAAACTATGTCTAGAAAAAACTCTAGGTGTGGTCACTAGCCCATGGAATCGACTAGAAGCAAATAGATGAGACTTTGCTAAAATTTTGAGGGGCTTGACCATACACAAACACACCCCCCAAACCCCAAAACCAATCGAACACATAAAAAACCCCACATGCCCAGACTTTTACCTTTTATCTCAACTATGGGAGCTGTAAAATAACCCTGCTCCAGAGGGAAGTGAGCTGGGAGAACTGAGCAACTCCAGGGAAGACTCAACCCCCAGCACCCACTTCAGATGTATACAAAGAGGGTGGCAGGCCAGGAAGGTTCTTCTAGAGAGCAGAGCCTAGGGTATAATAAACAAGAGAGCTCCTCCAGAGAGTTGAACGAGGGTCTAAGCAAAGACCTTCCCCCATCCTAGGGTTAGGGGCCTTTAGAGCAACTGAGGGGGTCTCAAAATAGCCACAGACCTAAAGCTATTCTGTCTCTCTCTCTCTTCCCTTTTCCAAATGGGCGTTTTAATTGTGGTTATCTGATCCATGCTCCTCCATTTGAGATTGGAGCTACTTGAGCTGACAGAAAAGACAGAATCACAGGGAGAGCCTGGACTGTGAGCTCGACGCAATGTCTGGGCGGGACGTGGAGTTGAACAGCCCCACCCCGAGGCAGGAGGTGGGGAGTGAATGTGCTTTATGTGTGAAGACAAAGAAGCAAACAGATATTTAGTGGCCGGGAGAATGGACTGCGGAGAATGCCAGCACCTACTGGTCGGTGCTTCTCTTCTCCATCCGGGGCCCACAGCTCATTCTGTTTTCAAGCCCCCTTGCTGTTAGGTAGGCTCTGGCCAGTGGAATATGGGTCCAAGTGCTGTACATCAGCCCAACCCATAAAATCCTGCTATGCATGGCCCTCCATCCTCTCTTCCCAAGATGGAAGGTCCCTGGGTCCCTGGGTCACCATCTGGAAGAGGACTGCCCAGCCCACCTGGGATTGTGATGTGAGTGAGAAATAAACTTTTGTTGTATTAAGATAGTGGGATGTAGGGTTTGTTGTCATAGCAGTGAGTGTTACTTATACTGACTAGTGTCAGGCTAGGGGATGCCCATATTTAGAAAATATACTGAATAGGAGAAGCTATTAGAGAAAGAGAAGTCAAAGAAGCTTAGAAGAAACAGAAGTATGTAGGATCAGAGAAACCAGGGGAGAAGAGAGCTTTAAGAAGGAACTGTGAACTGTGTTTGTGATGGTTAATTTTACATGTCAACTTGGCTAGGCCACGGTACTCAGGTATTTGGTCAAACAGTATTGTAGATGCTTCTGGGAAGGTGTTTTTTCAGTTGAGGTTGACATTCAAATCAGTAGACTTTGAGTTAAACAGATTACTCTCCATCCTGTGGTGGGCCTTATCTAATCAGTTGAAGACCTCAATAGAAAAAAAAGACTGACCTCCCCAGGGAAAGAGGGAATTCTGTCAGTAGACTGCCTTTGGACTTGAGCTGCAATATTAATTCTTCCCTGGGTCTCCTCTTCCTGGCTATTTGTTCTGTTTCTTTGGAGAACCCTGACTAATACAGTGTTAAGTCTACAAAATGGTTGAAGACGATACACGTTTCAAAAAGGCTATTATTCTGGCAACTAAGAGGAAGGAAGCAATTTTAGCAAACATTGGGGGTTGAAGTTACATTCCAAGAAGGAAAAGTGGAAGCAATGTCCTAATGCTGGTGAAGAACAGGATGGGAGAGGAGAGGATCAAAAGCACAGAGGGAGGAATTGAACTTTAGGAGGAGACGTTTTGTGTCTGTAGTAGAAAAGACAAAAGCAAGTTTGGGGGAGCTCCCTGGGGGTTTCTGTTCTGAGCGAACCACAGCACTGCTCAAGAACTGACATGAGACTCTCTACCTTCATTAATACACAGAGGGTTCCACCATTAGTGATTCTGGTTTTTTTTTCCCTCTAAATGACCTTTGCCCTATAGCAATTTCCTCTGGCTTCCAACAGAAGTATGGCTCATGTGTCACAGTCAAATGCACCCACCCCCAGCCCAAGTTATAAACAATATTAAGCATTTCTCTCTATCCCACTCCACCCCGCCTGTGTCTTCTGTGCCTCTGTGCCCAAGTCCCAGCCTGAGCCCCATCTTGATAGCCCCTCATCATCTGGTCTCTTGGCGCAGGGCCGGGGTGGGAGAGCTAGGAGGTTGTTTCGGTTGACCCTGGGTCCGTCCCTCCAGCTGTTGGTAGAAGATGCCTGAAATTGAAGCTGAAGACTTTCCATCCAAGGGCTGGTGTAATCTCTAGGAAATCCCTGGCTCCTCCCTTGATCTGCGATCTGTGATCATCCTTTATCTTCATCTTTCTGCCTTCCCTCTGAACTATCTCAGTGCTTTGACCCCTCCTGCCTGCCAACTCACCTCCAGCTCTTTCTTGCCACTCCACACTGCTGGGTCCCCTCTCCAACTGCATCCTTTCGGAACTGGAGCTCATCCTCTGAACCTCTTCAGGGCTGGGGTCCAGCCCTGCTCACTCAGGGCCCGTGTGCAGCCAGACACAGGCCTATTTCATTTCTTTGCTGATGCATTTGCATATCATAGCAATACCAGAGGCTATATATACCCTCCAAATGCAAAGGGTCAGGGAGAAGGGTGGGGGCCTTCCCTCACATCAGGGTTAGGCCCTTTTTGTCACTAAACGTCTTGGATCAAGCCAGCTAAAGAAAGCATGGAGAAAACTAAAGGTCATTTGCCTGTTCTTTCTGTCAATAAGTATTTGAGTGTCTGCTATGAGAAGCAATATGGTATACTGTAGCGATCCACACAGGCGCCAGATTTAGCCTGCAGGGTTCAAGTCCCAAGGTCTCCACTTCCTAGCTACGTGACAGTGAGCACATGATTAATCTCTCCTTCCCTCCGTTTCCTCCACTAAAAAATGAAGACATTTGTAGTGTTTGTCTCCTAAGGCCGCAGGGAAGATAAAATACATGAACACAGGGGAAACTAGGTAAGGATTCCTTTGATGTGACTATCCCCCTGGTATTTAGGAAGCAGCTCTCCTGGTCCATGCCGCAATCCCAGGAGGCTGAGGTGGACTCGGAATCCAGATTCAAGGAGTACATCGTGACCTACTATGAGGTGGGCCACAGCCTCTCTGAACCTCAGGCTCCACCTCTGTAAAATGGGCACCATGGGTCCTGGCTCCTGCTCTAGAGGCTGTGGTGAGAGAATGGAGAGAATGTGCTTTACAAACTGAAACTTGCCCCCCCCCCCCCTTCGTGGCCCCTTCTCGGCTCCTGGCTTAGAAGAAAGTGTCTCTGCTTTGGTCCTACCTGCTTTACTCTTAGGACCAAACAGGGGCGGGCATGGAAGTGTGGGGGATGTGGGGAAAGGCCAGGCTGGGTTGCCCCTGGGATGCGGTCCCCTCTCTCCCTGCACTACCCTGATACAGTGTTCATCACACCTCCGCACCATTCCTAGTTTCCTTGTTGGCTTTCTTCACCAGGTGCAACCGCATGGAATATTCCTCACCCTCCCAGAGCTGGGCACAGAGGCTGATACATGGAAGGTGGGCAGGAAATGTTCCATTAATGAAGAATGACATGTGAGGACCCCAGAGGAGAGCCTCTGACAAGAGTCACAACTCCTGGCTTGAGGTCAGTTTCCCTCCGATGTCATTGTACAAAATCACAGAATTTGGGAGCGCCTGGGGCCCAACGCCTTCCTGCAGGAAACCGAGGTTTGGAGACATGAAGCGGCCGCCCCAAGTCACCCACCCAGCGCGGCAGAGCTAGGGTGACCACCCTCGCTGGCCTTCCCGAGACTGAGGGGCTGGCGGGGACGCGGAATTTCAGGGCTGAGGCAGGCCAGTCCCCGGCAGCCCGGGGCTGGAAGCCGGGGATCCTGCCTTCCCCCCAGTCCCCTCTACCCCTGAGACGGGTGAGGAGTCCGTCCGGGGTGAGACCCGCTCCCCCGCCGGCCCAGCCCAGCCACGCGGCGGCCCCCCGTGCGGGCGGCGGCTGGGGAGGTGGGGGGGGTCCCCGCGCGCTCCCCCGGGGGCGCCGCGGCCGCGGGGCGGGCGGGGGAGGCGGCGGGCCCGGGCTCGGGGGCCCGCGGCGGCACAAAGAGGCCGGCCGCGGCAGTTTTTTGAAACTACCGAGCTAGTGGATCTGGGCCGGGGCCCAGGGAGTGACGAGGAGGGAGGGAGCGCGCGCCAGCGAGCGAGGGGGAGGCGGGAGGCGGGGAGCGCGGGGCGCGGGGCCGGCCGCAGACCTCGCCGGCCTCCAGCGGGAAGCGCGCGGGCGGCGGCCGCGGCGGCGGGATGGGCGGCCCGGCGCCCCCCGGCTGCGACCCCGCGGACCCTCCCCTCGGCGCGCCGCCTCCGCAGCCGGGCGCTCGAGCGGGCGGCGCGTAGGGCGGCGAGCGGGCTCCGGCCGAGGAGCCGCCGGTTCCCCCCACGCCCCCCCCAACCCCGGCCACTCGGCAGCTCGAGCCGCCGCCCCGGGGCGCTCCCGAGGCCCCGCAGGAGGGACCATGAAAGGTAAGCCCCGCGCGCGCGAGGCCCGAGGCGACCCCCCGCGGGCCCCCCGCGCCCCCCCGCGACCCCGCCCGGGGCGCGGCGGGCGCCTCTCCTGCCGGCGGGGCTGCGGAGGGGACGTCTCCCCGGGAGCGAGCTCCGGGCTCTCCCGGCCCCTCTGATCCTCCTGCGGAAGGCATTGGTCGGGAGGACCGCGGGAGCCCTGAAGTCTAGAGGAGGGGGAGAGGAGAAGGAGCGGGGGGAGAGTTCACACACAGCTCCCTTCACAGTCCTCTTCTCACTGTGCGTTGCTCTATCCCTAAAAACAGTTGTAAATTCCAGAGAGGTTCCTGATCCCTTTAACCGGTCATCGCAAAAAGATGCCACTAGCCCAACCTTCTGGCCGCGTTAAATCCCCATCCAGGGGACCCATCTCAGAGGCTCCTGCAGCCCCTACCTGGCCTTCTGCCGGGCGCCAGGCCTAGGATTCTCCTCCAGGAACTTCAACCCCTTCCTCAGAAGAGACCCGTTGGGTCCAAGTCCCTCAGGCCAGACCCTGCCCTTCCTGCCTCTGAACCCTGGCTGACCCACCCTCTGACCTCCCAGGGACACAGCGGCTAGGGAAGGCGTGTGGTCCAGGCCTGAGCTCTCCCCAGGGCACTGGGTCATCATCCCCACCGGAGCCCTTGCAGCCATGTCCTGGGATGGACACAAGAAAGGGACTTGGTCCCAGGTGCTCATACCTGGGCCTGGCTTTCTTCAGGCCTGGGAAAGAGCACACTTTGTCTTAACACTCATTTTCAGGCTAGGCGAGCAGCAGACATTGGAATCATCCTATGGGACAGGGAACCTTTTAGGTTTTGAATGCTCTCATTGGTGCTTGTCAGTGATCCTTCCCTAGCACCTCCGGCAGGTGCTGGGCTCCTGGCAGTGAGAACCTCCCCACTTCTTTGACTTCCTGAATGTGGGGACTGAAAAAGACCTTCGAGATCATCTAAAGGGTTTTAAACTCTACTCTCGGGTGTTGTTGAAGAAGCAGCTCTGTTTGTGTCTTTTACATAGAAGGGGCTGAGGGTTCCTGTGAAGAAAGGGCTCACAGACAAACCTCTGACTGAATACAGCTGCCATGTTGTATAGTTGAAGAAACTGAGGCCCAAACAGATAGAAGCAGCTTCCTGGGTGTGCAAACCTGTGCCTCCCCACGGGTCCCTGCAATCGGAAGCCCTCATACATACTAGGTTTAATGTCTTGAAATTCTTAATAACTCTTAAACAGGGTTCCCTCACGCTTTCATTTTGCACTGGGCTCTACAAATTATGTTGCTGATCCTGTGGATAGGAGAAGGAACGTGCTTAAGAGTCACGGCTAGTCAGGGGAACCAGGGCCCAGGGGCCTGACTTCCAGGCCAGAGGACTGGCTAATATGCCCCTGCCTCTCTGTCGCTTCCTTCCCTCTGGCCCCTCTGTCTGGGCTTCCGATGGCCTCACCGTGTCTTGGGCTGTCTGGGATGAGGCAAGCAAGTTATAATCAGCGCCAGGGAGTTCCCTTGGCTGCAGAGAGGAGTCTCACCCACGAAGTTCCTGCTCTCAGCTACCACATCTATGGAGCTGTACCCACCCCCGTTAGCCGGCCTGGGGTAGGTCGGTACCCAGAAGCCTCTGGAAGGGTCTTAGACCACATCTCACCACAGGCTTGGGGCCCACACTGCTCTGGACCTTAGTGACGATGGTAAGATGCTACACATACCCGGAGGGTTTGGCTCCACCAACATCCCTGACAAACACTGTAAGAGAAAATCTGGTGAGGGCAAGACAGGACAGAAGTCCTCTGAAATGGAGGAGATATCCTGCTCCCATAGAGGAGGGAGTTAGGAGCACATGACCTGCCTTCCTGAAACCCAGTGAGGCAATTCCACTCCTCTGAGTGGAAGAGAAACAAGCTGGTGTGGATGAGTATTTGGAGGAGGACGGACTGTACCATGTTAGCAGGTCTCCGGGTCCTCCTGGCGTGCTGGCTGGAAGTCTGGGCTCCCTCCTTGGGTTCCCAAGGTCTGTGCCTCTCACCTCCTTTTCCCCATTCTCAACCAACAACCTCACCAACCACGTGGGGCCAAACTCCTGTTCACTGAGGCCTTTGGGGACAGCTCCCATGTGTTTTTCCTCCAGTCTCTGGGAAACCTTCCATGATCTCCCATAACATCCCAGGGGCACGGGCTGTAGGGCTGCAGGGGAAGACAAAGGTTGATTCCCAGTACAGCTCCCTCCAGGGTCTTCCCTCATCCTCCCCAGGAGCCAGGAAGAGCTGCCGCCTCTACCTGAGATGGAAAAAGCAGGGCAGACAGCAAATATTTGGCCTTTGGATCTGTGGAGTATGAAAAATCAGGACGTTTTTTCACCCACATGGAAAAAGGAAAGTGCCCAGCAAAGCAGGACGGCCCTTCCAGACTGGCCCTTCCCCAAGGGGAACTGGCTTCCAACCCTCCTCCAAAGGCCCCACCAATCTGAGAATTACATCTGTTGGCAAAGAGTTACCTCCCCCCTCAAAGCAAAACACGGTGATGTTATGCTTTGTGGGGGAGAGGGGCGTTGGTGAGGACGGTACTTAAACAAGAAAATGCATTTGCTGAGGAGCATGGCCACCGGTGGCCAGGCGCCAGAGCCTACTCTGCCAGCCACGCTGTTTCCACCCCGGGGCCCCTCCTGCCTGCCCGCCTGCCCGCCTGCCTGCCTGCCTCTGGCCAGGCCTCCCAGGCAGCCACATCTTTCGATACCAGCCAGTACCTGGCCCCAGGTGTAGCCCTTCTCATACCCGAGGGGCAAAAAGCTGCCACCAGGCCCTTGGTGACAGGCCCATCTTGGAGCTTCCCACTGGCTTGTGTGAGCCATTAACAGCCACCTGTGGGATGGTTTACACACCTGTGGTGAGAGGGTCCTGTGGGGGGAGCCCTTCCAGCTCTATGAGGCGCCCCCCCCCCCCCTTTAGAAGCAGCATGGTCCACTGTGATTTGAGAGTCAAAGACACAGCCTCTATTCCTGGCCCCACGTGAGGCTCTGGTCAAAGTGTTTCCCTCTCTGGGCCTCGTTCTCCTACTGGGTGGTCCCTGAGGCCCATCCTGCCCTGACGCAATGTGACTCAGCCCAGGAACTCTGAGCCTGAGTGCCACTCGGGGAGCGGAAGTGACTCGGTGGAGAGGTGGCTGGAAGCAGTCCCACTGCAGGGCGACTCTGTGCCCCTGGGAGACTTGTCCTCAGCCGCTCATACAGGGCAGAGGCGCAGCCCGCTGTTCCCCAAGCATGGGGGGAACAGCCCCTCCCTACAGAATCAGAGACCCCTGCCCACACTCCGTGGACAGAGGGCGGCCGGGGCTGCAGAGCACAGCCGTGTGGTCCCAGGAGAAGCTGTCACCCACAGCTTGGCAGAGGGGATTGTACCCACTCACAAGCGGGTAGACTGGGTCCCCTTTGAAAGCCTGACCCCCATCCCCAGACCGCGGGCGCTGGAAGGAGCCTGAGTCTAAAAGAAAAGGAGCTGATGTGTAAAGAGCAGGGCATAAAGAGCCACTAAACAGCTCAATTCGGGGGGACCCGAGGGCTCAGATGATGGAGATTAGCTCCAAACCCTTAGAGACACACACACACACACAGCTCACCTTGCCATCCAGCTGGGGTAATTTTGATAACCGAAGACTCACATCCCAAAGCTAATTTGAGAGAAAAAAGAATTCTGCTTCTCGGTAGATGTTTGCTGGAACAGCTTAGCAGTCTTCATGAAGGCCAGGCAGCTGTGCTGGGTGCGAGGCCTGTGAGCACAGCTGCAGGACGGACCGTGCCCCTCATCACTCATAGATACGCTGCCCGTGTTTGATTGTGCTTCAGGTAGCGCGTGCACGCGTGTGTGTGCATGTGTGTGTGTCTGTGCTGTGAGCACTGAAGCCCAGGGTTAGAGCTAGTCCGCTCACCCGCCAGCTTTATAAGCTAGTAGTTATGACGAAGTCACTGGTACTCCCTGGCCCTCCTCATCCGCAAGTAGACTGGATCAGCTTTAATGTTCTTTCCAGCTCTAACATTCTACTCTTGTTTCTCCTTCTGAGAGCGTGTCTTTATTTATTTATTTTTATTTGAGTAGCGTTGACACACAACGTTACCTTAGTTTCAGGTGTACAACAGAGCTGGGCTCACCACAAGTGTCGCCCCCATCTGTCACCACACAACACTGTTACCATGTCATTGACTCTGTTCCTTATGCTGTGCCTTTTATGCTCATGACTTATTCATTCCATAACCGAAAGCCTGTATCTCCTACACCCCTTCGCCCATTTTGCCCACCCCCCTCACCTACCTCCCTTCTGGCAACCATCTGTTTGTTCTCTGTATTTATAGATTTGATTCTGTTCTTTGTTTATTCATTTGGGGTTTTTTTCTGGTTTCCGCGTATAAGTGAAATCATATGGTATTTGTCTTTCTCAGTCTGACTTACTTCACTTAGCATAATACCCTCTAGATCCATCCATGTTGTTGCAAGTGGCAGGGTCTCATCCTTTTTCATGGTCATGTAATATTCCACTGTACATACAGGGTGTGCGTGTGTGTGTGTGTGTATATATGATATATATCCATCTATCTATTAATCTGTATCTATGTTTCTCTCAGAATAAGACTGTGGAGCCCACAAGGTAGTGTTAGAATGTGAGGTGCATGAATGTGGCGACCCAGGCTGCCTTTTTCTTGCCTCACTCTCTCCCAGTGCCTGGCACTTAGGAGGTATCCACTACATCTGCCAGTGGGTAAATCTGAGTCCCCCACTGGGCTGAAATCCTGAAAGGCAAAAGGAACACCATGGATGGGATCCCCAGAACCTAATGTAGGCCTCCAATAAAGACTCGTGCTTCTATTTCATGTTTACTGACCATCTGCCAAATGTCAGAGTTTGTATGTCTATTTACGCCTAAGGGCCAAGAAAGATGCAAAGAGCTCAACATCCTTTCTCTCAAGGAGCTTACCCTTTGCCAGGATTGGTTCTTTTCCTGTCTCCCTCCTTTGCTGCTCCTCTTCTGGATGAGTCTGGTATCAGCTGTGGAGCCTCTGGTTCTTAGGGGGCACCCATTCTTGAACGGTCTTACCCAGCCGTGTGGATTTGACACGTGGGGAAAGGCTGGTGATACCAGGTTTACAATACTGGGCTCCGGACGCGTATTTCTGATGGTGTCCTGAACCACCTCTCGATAGATACCTGCAGACACCTCCTTCAAGGCTTGGATGAGATACCTTCACGTCCACCTGAACCTAAAGCTAAGCTATCGGTTATTCCGGGATGTTGCCCCACACTGATAGTTTCTGCCCTCAGGCAGACGAGACAGACACACTTAAGAGGAAAACCAGATAACGAAGGGAGAAGAAGTAACAGAACAGATGAATGGCATATACAGTGGATTCGGTAGGAATCCTGGGGAGAAAGAGCATTACAAGTTGGGGCTGCATGGAGGGGCTTTCAGGAGGAGTTGAAGGGTGGGCAAAACTTGGATGAGGTCATTCAGGGGGTTGTCAGGAGAGACAGGAAATAATGTTGGGAAAAGCTGGGTTTCTCTCATCTGTAACTGTTTAGTGATGGGTGGGGAGATTTGCCTGGAGTTGAGAGTCGGTTCAGAGACTCGGGGAGCCACAAGACCAGGAGGCCTCGAGTGCCATGCCAAGGACTTCCTGTTGTGTCCTTTTGATTTTGAAGTGGCCCTGGAAGGGTTTGTCAGGAGACAGCCCTGTTGCTGCTTCTCCCTGGGGACGTGCTCTAAGGACTTCAGCGCACACTGGAAAATCTCTACTTCCAGAGAATGGGAGGAAGAAAATGAGTGAAGGAAGGAGCCAGGATTGGTAAGGGACACAGGCAGAGAACTGTGTGGGTCATGTCACAGAAGCTGAGAGGAGAGAGTTCCAAGAAGGAGGAAATGGCCAACAACGTTGACCGTTCGTCAACAGGGTCAATTGATTCGAGAAAGCCAGACTGCCCAGGCTGAGGGCAATGGGTAGGTCTGAAGCAAAGGTGCAGGGAGACCTCGCATTAGAGGAGTTTCAGGAAAAGGGAACTGAGTAGTGACCGTAAGAAGCAGGGCCAGGCAAGAAGGGGTTTTTGAGGTGGGGCCGGCCTGTGCTCATTGGAAGGAAGAGGGAGAGAAGATGAAGGAAAGGCTCACGTGGTGAGGAAGGAGGTAGCAGCAGGAAAGCTTTGCCTTGGAGAAAAGAAACCCTTTCTTTTTGGGGACCTGAGGGAAGGGAGAGATGACATATACAGACATAGGCTTGTTGCATTTAATCTTTTTATAATACATACGCCTTATGAAAATTTTTGGAAAATTCAGTAAAGGGGGAAAAAAAAGTACTTACAGGAACTCCTACCCCTCCGAGATAATTGACAAGATTTGAATGAACATTCTTCCAGAAATCTTTCTGGGTATATTTGCACACAGATTTTTTTTTTTCATATGGATAAGATTATACTTTCCATGTTATTCTGTATATGTACTTTTAAAATTCAACAATAGACTATAGATATCTTCCCTGGGCAAAAAATAGAGAGCTGCACTATTTTTTAAATGGTTGCATGATATTCCATATGCGACTTTTATGATCACTTATTTAACTAACCCCTTATTGATGGGCATTTGAGTTATTTACATTTTTCCTTGGGTTCATCATAGCATGCAGTGGTAATTTTTACACAACCATCTTTGCCTCATTGTGTAAGTATCCCTGAGGAAAAAACTCCTAGAAGGGGGTTTGGGGAGTCAAAAGGCATTCTCATCTGAAGTTTGCTCCAAAGGCACAAGCGGGCCCTTCATTCCCACTGGGCTCGAGGTGTAATACCCGCAGCGAGTTTGAGGAAGGTGGAGAATTTTGATCTTTTCAGAAAAGGAGGAAGTAGGTTCATCTTTGGGGAATAGCGGGCTGAGAAGAGGAGGAGTAGCGAGCAAGGATCCAGGTGGCAGAACTTGACTGAAGACAAATCCACACTGCTCTCCGACATGCTCCCCCCTGGGCTGGGTTCCCCCCCGCCATCCCGAGCAGTGCAGAGAAGACAGGCTGAAAGGGTGAAGGGCACAAGGGCCAGAAGATAAAGCTAACGGCTCCAGCGAGCTGAAGCTTATCCTGGGGGGCTAGACTGATGGCAGAATGGAATGAGGAATGAAAAGGTTTAGTGCAGCGGGGAGTGGGAAGAGCAGTGGGAGAGGTCCTTGAGATCCTACAGATGGAACCGCAGGGAACTTTCTGTTCCTGAGGGCGCAGTGGCTGAACGGTGGTTGAGGCGGAGAAGAGACCCATAGATCCCCGGCCTAGGAGCCCTGAGGTCCAGAGAACCAGTGGATTTTCAACAAATGTTGCCTCCATTAAAGTTGATGGCAGGAGACAGGATAAAAAAAAAAATCCAGTCCAGGTGATGTGCTTATCCAGAACAGTGTTCCCCGAAGCTGGTGCACCTCTGAATACCAGTTCCATGGGATTTAATGCATCTTTTTTTTTTTCAAGAATGGCAGGAAGTTCTACCATCAAATGTTTGAGAAACATAAAAATAAACACAAATTGAAGTGGGCTTTTTTTTTTTTTTTTTTTTTGCGGGACTTGTCAAAATCTTCACTATGTTAATGTGAGTTTCTAAGATGGTAATAGAATATGCAGCATTTTCGAGACTTACTTGATCAAAGAACTTTTTTTTCACAAAGAATAATTTGGAATTCCAGAGTGGTTCACAGGACATAGTTTGAAAAATGGGTTTCTTTCTTTTTTTGGGGGGGAGGGACAGAGGGGGAGAGAGAGAGAGAATCCCAAGCTGGCTCCACACCCAGCAGAGAGCCCGACAAGGGGCTCGATCTCATGACCCTGAGATCATGACCTAAGCCGAAATCAAGAGTCGGATGTTTAACCATCAGATGCTTAACCGACTGAGCCACCTAGATGCCCTGAAAAATGGATTTCGTGAAAGTTGGAAATCGGTCTTGAGCATAAGGGGCACCGAGAAAGGACAATAAATGACAGTAGCAAGTCCAGTAGGATCGAAAAAAAAAATCCCAGTAAAAATGACAGCTACGACCATTTATCAAGTATTTACTGTGGGCCAGGTACTTGTCATTTGTCACCTCGTTGGGTTTCCACAGCAGCTCTGTGAGTAGATGGTGGGCTCTCTAGTTTGCACATGAAGCTGAGAGAAGGGAAGAGAGTCTCCGAGAGAGAGAGCAGAGACCTCAAGCGGTGAAACACAAGGAGAGTGAGGGGCTTAAAGATCCAGAAATGACAACAGAGATCAAGCAACTGGTGATTCCCACCCCACCTCCCCATTCCCATGGGATATGGGGGTTCAGGGGGACCAGAGGAGCGGCTTTCTACACAAAGGAGGACTAATGTGTATGTGATGGGGGAGGGTTGGGTCTGTTGCATGGAGTGAATAACCAGGGTTGTTTTCCCGACTGGAGGCTACACCACCCCTTGAAGCGGTATCTAGAAATGGGGTGGGCATTTGGAGTGATCACAATGACCAGGGACCACTGCTGACATTTAGGATGCCAAAAGTCTACAGCCCACGGGTAAATCCTGTCTAACGAAGAATGGCGCCACCCAGAGGCTGAGTGCTCCTGTTGGAAACACAGGGTGAGAAAGGGGAGGAAAGTCCCTGGGGACAGAGAGGGCTTAGGAGAAAGGGCGAGTTTCCCCTCAGCCTGCGTGGTGACCAGGAGAACAGTGGAAGGCAGGCTGTGGGCTGGCTCAGAGGATTCAGACAGAGGTGGCAGGAGAGAGAAAACCTGTCCCAGAGCATCGAATGGGATTTTAGGAATGAAGGAGCAGAAAAGAGGTGATTGTTATATGGAAGCAGATCACGACGACTTGATGAGCAGGAGAATCTGAAAGGGAAGGACCAGATTCATTAGAGCAGAGAGGGGCAGACCGATTCCCACCGGACTATAGATGTATCCACACAGGAAGCCTGCGGGGCGGGGGTAATGGTGGGAGGGTTCTAATGAAAACAATTTTGCAACCTTAATTATAACATTCTCCGACCTTAAACTACAGCTATTTTGCAACTTTAAATATAGCATTGGCTCCTGAGAAGACTCTGAAATCTTTATTTTTACCGACCCAATTGGCTGTTTTGAAAACCCACTCTGTGAACTCCGTAGAAGATAATCATCAAAATATGTTCCTTGAAGTTCCCAAAGAAAGACCTTTTATTCAGTTCCTCAAATCTCTCCCTCTTGCTGACTCTGACGGAAGATTGCAGTCCCAGAAAGGCTGAGGAGTGAATTAACTCCATATTTTTGGTCAACTGAAAGAAAGCCGGAGTCGGCAACCACAGGCAAGTTAGCAGTTTGTTCACAGGTCCAGGCTGTTTTCCACCCCCCCGGGAGAAGGGAACAGAGCTCAACCCCAACAGAGTCAGCAGTCACGCCTAACCATGTGCCAAGGCATGCACCTTCGATCACGCTTTCTACGTGGCTCTGTGGGAGCAGAGGCTTAAGGAAAAAAAGTGGTTTCCCTTGTGGCTGTCCTGATACTTGAGTCGGCTGTTATGACCTTAGGAATGAGAGGAGCAGAGGCTCTTTCAAATCTTCAGTGGTTGCCACTGCTTTAGGAGTCTGAGATTGCAGCACTGACCTTCGAAGGCTCTTGGATTGTTTGTTTGTTTAAAGCACACTGCCTGCAATTTGTGTAGAGAGCACTAGAGTAGTGAAGAGTAGGGAGCCTGGCTGTGCCTTTGGTAGGTCATTCACAGACCTGGCTTCTTTATCACAGCGACCGGGATATTCCCTCGTGACAGCTATAATCCCTTGGGGCCTCTGGAACAGGGGAGGCAGAAACTGGCTTAGATGTTTGCTAACTGGAACAGCTTGCTGTCCCAAGTTTGCCGTGAGAGCGGTGCCTTCCCAGAGACTTTCAGTCCAGGCATCATCTCTTCTCCAGTGTCCTTTCCCAAGCCCACCCCCTCTTGTCACAATTTATCCTGGAGTCAGCAAAATGGGAAAAGGAAGGAAAAAAAGATAGAAGGCAGTGGAGCCAGGGTGCCTGGGTGGACTCAGTCGTTGGGCATCTGCCTTCGGCTCAGGTCATGATCCCAGAGTCCTGGGATCGAGTCCCGCATCCGGCTCCCTGCTCGGCCGGAAGCCTGCTTCTCCCTCTCCCACTCCCCCTGCTTGTGTTCCCTCTCTCACTGTGTCTCTCTCTGTCAAATAAATAAATAGATCTTAAAAAAAAAAAAGAAGAAGGCAATGGAGCCTAGTTCCCTTTCTGGAAACATAACCTCCCTTTAGCTACCCATCGCCTGCAACATGGCCTCTCCTTCAGCCATTGCAGACGCCTGGCAGTCCGTGATGTCTGACACTCAGGTCCCCTCAGTTTTCGGCATTGCCGGAAGTCCTCGATTTCACTGATAACTTATGTATGGCACAGGGAAGAGCCACAGCCTTATTTTAGAGGGCCGTAAAATGCTGCTGGTATTCTAAGGTAATTAATTGGGACACCACTGGAAAAAAATACCCTCCCCCCAAGAGGCCTTTTAGCTTTAGGAGAGGAATATCCTATGCCTTGTTCTAGTTCTGAGAAAGGCAGAGGAAGCAGACCCTACATTCTCCTGTGCCCTCCCGCTTTGTGCCTTTTCAATTCAAACACTAGGCCCCCGGATGTTAATGCTAAGCCAAGCCTCAGTCTGCTGCTTTAAGCCTTTGCATCCTCAATGCGTTAGCACTCCCCAACGCCCCCTAGTCATGGAGAACCTTAAATAAACCAAATTTAAACCATATTTGAAGTCATTAATCTTTCTTTTTTTTTTTTTAAATAAAAATGAGCTCTTAATCGAGATAGTGGAAGTTAAGAGTTAACTAGGGATGCAGGCCTTCTCGAAGGGTCAGCAAACCCATCTTTCTTAAACACCCACTCTGCGATCAGCCTGGGGCTGACTGAGGCTTGAGGAATATTGCAGACCTCAAGGAGATGTAAAGAGATGTCTGGCCTGGATGGAAAGGGCTTATCCCAGCCCTGCAGCCTGGCTGAGCTTTAGCTGTGTGCGGTCCCGTGAGTACTCTGTACGTGGGTTTGGATCTGCCTTCCGATCCCTGGACATTCAGGAACTACAAACTAGCTGGCGGGTCACTTCACCTCTCCAAGCCTTTGCACCATGACAGATGGGCTCTGTGATTGTCAGCTCCTTCCCACACTCCCTGTCTCTGAAAACCCTTTGTAAAGCCGGCGTACCCAACACTAAGTCAGATCGCAGCAGAAGGCAAATTCGTTTCCCGTCTCTATCCAGCCGCCGCCACCCCTTGGCCCAGCAAGAAGAGGGAGTACAGACTCCTGTCTAATCAATCATCCTCTGATCAATCATAGCCTCTGTATCCTCAAGCCAAGCTTTCCCCAGTGCTCCCCGTCTGTTTCTTCCTCTGTCCCCGACCGGAACAATCTTGGTGTAATGTGAATATAATGAGCCTGGGCTTGCAAAGGGCTTGGCTTATAAAAGCCTCCCAAATGCTTTGGATTATGTTCCCATTTACATGAACAAGGCTAAAGTGGAGAGTTGCTAGAGCATTCCAGACATAGGTAAATTAGGGGTCCCCAAGGCCTGCAGCGCAGGGCTGGTGAACAGGAAGTCCAAAGGATTAGAAAAAGGAGGACACCCCTTCGGGGATCAGGGAGGGCGTGAGCTACGGAGCTGAGATGTCAACAGAGGGAACAGCACCAAACACTTGTGAGCCCCTGTCTACAGAGAGCCAAGCTCCGGGCTGGCAACCGTCATTTCCCTGCCCGAGGGCTGCCAAGTCCCAGAACGGGGTCTTTCTTAATTCCCACTCGCTAACGATTGCCAATTTTGGGGGCCCTCAATGGGAGAGCAAAGTGATGACAAAGCTGTGTGCTTTTGTGAGGGCATTTGCTGAAGGTCGGTGTCAGCCTCGCTTGATTTAAGTCCTCCCAGCTCCCTTGCAAAGGCTATAAACAGCCAAGTGGTGAAATTGGCCCTGGAGCCAGAACAGGGAGGAGGCCGAGTCCCAAGGGAGGGCAGAGAAGCACCATCAAGGGGTGGGGAGAAATGAGGAACAGGGGCAGGAAGGCCTTTCTGCTCCAACGAATGGAAGGAATACCTCCCCTGGGGACCAAGGCGGCGGTAAATCTGACAGCACGCAGCGTGGTTCTGGCTGAGATCATCTGGGGCTGAGAGGGTGGTTAGGGTGAGGTTTTGGTCAGACGGAGCGCAGAAGGTACCAAGGGATCCGAGCCTGCCTCGTCTGAGGCATACATTTATGGGAAAGGGATGGCAATCCTGGTAACCAACCCCCCTCCCCCCCAGGCATAGTTACCCTTGTAAACTGTTGGTAGATTGACGACAGGATGGCAGCCTGAGACAACACAGTGCTGGCAAGGTTGATTTCCTAGGTTATTGATGAGGGGATCAGTGGTAGCTGCCATGTCAGCCCTCCTTCTGCAAGTGGACCCCCCCTCCCCAGACGTGCACGCACACACGCTCATGCACACACTCATGAGAACACACTCGCTCTAGCGGAGAGACGCTAGCTGGAGGCTGTTACCGTGGAAAGGAAAACAGCCAGGATTCAGAAGGTTTTGCCAACGGCCGGCTTTGTGACTGTAGCCAGGAGTTAAAAGGTAACCCCCTGCCCCCAACTCAGTTTCCTCACCTGTAAAATGGGGAGAATGACTTCCCACCCTGTTATCTCTCAGGCTAGTCATAAGGGCCAAATGCAATACTGGATATGAGCCCAGCTCTCCACCCCCCCCCCAAATTAGCTCAATCTTTGAGAGTGGGATACTAGCCTTGGTCTCTTGACCAAGCTCCCCGCTGAGTCCACATGCAAGCCCAGACCCACTTGTGACTGGACATATCATGTAAAATCATTCATAGATTCCTTTAAAATCGTGTTTGTTGAGCATTTTGCAGTGCCATCCACTGCACTCGGGCCTTTGGATAAAGCAGAGAACAAGACCGACACATCCCCTGCCCTCAGATCTTAAACACTGGGGAAGAGAGCTGTTGGAGAAATAATAAAAGGTATATTGCTGTCTACAATGGGACGACACAGAGCATGCCCAGGAATCTATAACAAGGGACGGGTCCAGTCTGGGAGCTCAAGGAAGGCCACTGAGGAAGTGACACATAAACTGTGATCTGGAGGACAAGCAGAAGGCATGATGGCGGCATCTTTAACTTGGGGTCGCCCTCCATCCCTCCCCTCCTGAGCCCATTTAGGGCTGCTTTCACTGACCTAGTGTCCTTGCCCCTCTGCTTCTTGGCTCCCGTCCTGATCAGTGGTCACAGCTGCACAGCGTTTGGGAAGTGAGGTCTCAGGGCCACTCAGGCTGCTTCCAGGTCATGGCCAGAGCCCCTGAGCCCCCATCACATGCTCGGGCGGTGCCAGCCCCCTTCAATTCTACCCGCTCACCTTGTTGCAGAAGCCAGGTTTCTCGCACCTGTGGGACCTTCGTTCATTTCTCCGAGGAGGCAGTTGGTATGGCAGGAAATATTTCCGAGTTCAGATCTCAGCTTCACCGCATAGTCTGTGTGCTGTTAAGCAACAGTCTTAACTTTTCTGAACCTCAGTCTTTTTGTCCATAGAAGTGACACTTTAGACTGTAAAATTTATAGGGTTGTTGTGAAGATTGCCACAGGGCAGGACCCAAATTTTTATCACATTATAAAAGGGAAGAAAGAAAAACAAAACTTCAAGCTTCTACTTCTAGTGTTCCCAGCTTAAAATATTCTTGGATTATGAAGTTCGGGTAGTAAACGACAAGCGGACTACTAAATGCATAGCTAAAGTTGAAAGAAAACTGAGGAAGTTTCTGAAGACCAAGAAAAAAAAAATTCCAATTAGGAGCTGAAACCCACATTCAACAAATATAGAAGCTGGATGTCAGGAACCTAGAGTCTTGGGTGCAGGAGGAACAAGGTTACGAATGGCGCAAGGAGGGGGGCAGCCGGCCCAAAGACCCCCACGAGAAAGCCTGTCACACTGTGTCACCCTGTGAAGCCCTGGGATAGCCATTCTACCTGTTTTATTTTGTTTTCTTGTCCCAGTCTTTTCTGATTGGTCAAAGCCCATACCTCTGGTTAAAGATTTTGAAGCTCCCCCGGACCCAGTCTGCTCCTTGGAAAAAAGGGGAGGGGAGGGGCAAGAGGTTGGAGGAGGTGGGGATGCACCTGCCAGAGAGCTGACTAGGAAACCAGATGTCTCCAGAGAGTCCAGAGGGTGGAAAGGGCTGTGCCAGGGAAATACAAGCTTGCCCTCACATGGGCCGGGGTCCAGTTTATATTCAGTGTGCATACTTGGGCAACCCAGTTTAATCACGCAAACC